ATCAAAGATGCCATTTAGAAAATTAGACTCTACCTCTTCGAATTAACACACAGATCAACCACTGAATATGGTAAAATACCAAAACGTGTCTGAAAAAAAAAACCAGCGATAAAGGATGCCAGGAAGATGTGATTGAAATACAGATACATGGTATACCTCATTTCACAAAATAATGTAATTTCATTAAATTAAAGATTCAACAGTAAGAATTGCCTTTGTAGAATTTGCTTTATTAAATGTATGGTGAAAGATTGGATAAATATTTATAAGATTGATAAATTATTTAATTAAATATACTTCAATATTCATATGAACTATGAAAATAAAATTGAAGTTCATCAAAATATTTTACACTCTCCTTTATTATTTTTGAATTTATGACAGTTGGTTTCTCTACTACAGGTTTTATAACCAGAGGTTCTTCTAGCAAGCATGAAATTTTAGTTACTGCTCTAAAAAAATAAAGATTTGCATGGTTATTGAAATGCAATGTTGAAATGGAACGATTGTTTGGTTTTACCAAATCTAGATGTAATTTATTTAGAAATCGCAAGATCGGTCTGGTGTGATGTAGGTTTCAGAAAAACATTTTCTTTATCGTGCCAACGTTTCGATCTTTATTGAGCCCTGAAGATGATCTCAATAAAGATCGAAACGTTGGCACGATAAAGAAAATGTTTTTCTGAAACCTACATCCACCAGACCGCATCTCACGATTTCTAAATAAATGTCGATTAACGGTCACTAATCACCACACATTTCTAGATGTAATTATTTATTTTTAAAAAGTCAGTTATGACCTGTATTAAAAATGAATGGAAAACTCAAAATAATTAAAGGGAAATGATAAAATGGGAAGTTCAGGTCATTCCCAGCTCTCAGAAGTTCCAGACTCACTTTACATCACCGTGAAATCCCAACATTATAAATTATACTTTTGTGGAAAGTTTCAGATAAATGGCCTCTCTCACTGTAAAACCATTGCAAGAAACATCTCTTGATATAAAACTTCAACTCCCAGCTGTTCCACCGCTATGAAATGCAATTGTTCATTTTACTCACAGTGTTTTATGTTTCCACTTTTATTATGATTGGTACTAAATTTTTTTATTATGTTGAAACAGCTTTACCGATAATTTAATAATATTTCTTTTGCATCTATAAAAGATCAGTTTTTATTGAATAAATTAAAAAAAATGAAATTAATTTTCGATTTTCAACTTGTAACATAAACATATCGTTTTTTTCAATTGAGTTTTGTGTGCATATTTCATTATAACTATATTTTTTTAATCGATTTATTGAAATCCCTTATCTTTAAAGTTTCATATTATACTGCCAAAATAAAAAGTTTACTTTTTTCACAAAAGCATGATACTGCTGCTTCACAAACCCCATTAATTGATGTTGTATTGATGTTGTTGTTCATTGTCATTAGAAGTCAGCAAATACTCTAAGCAAATAATTTTAAATTAGTGATTAAATGTCAAATATTATTTAGGTACATGTTTAAAATAGGACCTAAATCAAAATATGTTATTTATGCAGTTGACATTATGTATGTAGTGGGACATTTAAAGCCAACTAATCTTTTTAATGCCTCCAAAATTTCATAATGTCTCCGAATATTAGTCCATGGTTCAAAAAACATTCCATAAACAGGATAAAGTATATCAACCTAAAAACAAGTGAAAATAGAAAACAGCCAACATATCTAATAAATTGTTAATTAACTCAGTATTTTTTTTATCCTTATTAAACATGTCAGTTTAATTAAATTAGTGGGGCCATTCCACAAAAACTAGATCAAATCATGGCGCGTCATTCATCAGGGCCCTGGTATTTTTGTTCATAAAGACGCCAGATAGATTTAACAATCCCAAATTAGTGTTGCAAATGAGGTGTATGTCAAATTTTCTACAAAGCCTTGTCACTAAATAAAGACATTTAAATAATATGACATTTCATGGTAACATTTACTACTATTAACACTTATTGAAGTTTTACAAATGCTGATGATAGAGAAAAAACTTTTATAAAAATCAAGTTTGTCATATTTGTTATTAAAAAAAAATTAAGTAGAAAGTATTTTCTCAATTTAAGCCTAATACTCTTAGTATACTTTTATTTACATTTAAAATTAAATTAAATTTAAAATGATGGGTAGTAATCAGGGTTGTGGTCAGTCAGCCAAACTTTCAAGATTTTGGCCTACATGTGACCTTCCTCAGGGCTAGGATGTAATGGTGATTATTCAAATCCACACACACACATGTATATACATGCATGTGTGTAAAGAGTTGAGCTTACACTTTTCACAGTCTACCGGGAATTCCAGCTTTTGTAATTTACAATAAATTACCAGCAGTACTCAAGTATTTCCCATTCCGAGGTTGGGATCAAGAAGCTATCAACAGCTAGGTCATTTCAGCCCCCAACACAATCAATTCCTATATCCATTCATACTCTCACTCACTCTTAAATAAATTCTTTCTTATTTACTTACCACTCACTCAGGTTGGTGGTGTACTTGATATTCCTCCATCATGCTTATTATAAAACTTAACTAAATGAGGGTTGATGGGATACACAATATTCTTCCCCTCTCACACTATTCAATCATGCCAATAGATAAATTCAAACTTAGCACTTGCTAGGGCTACAAAACAGGGGCGTCAGTGGCCGCAATGGTTAAGGCATTGACACAGCGCTCATTACTGTAATGTAAAGGTCCCTAGACACACTTGCAATTGTTTTTCTTTTTTTGTTCCAAAAATACCAGTACATCAAGGGTTGATATGACCTGTGCTGTTGCGAACTTTATTTTTTTTTTTCTCCTATCCTCCAAGAATCAGAATAAGAGATCCTAATACTTGCTGCTGTGCTAAGCCCTATAGGGAGCCAAGGAATTGCACCCTTCAATTAGGTGGGACCCTTTAGCCCAAAAGTAAGGGTCCATGTGTCAACCTCGCAAGGTCTATTCTTAATCAGGTGATGACTCTTCTTTTTTGAGTCAGGTCCTCCGAGGGCATCTCATCGACAGCATTCTTGATACATTCACAAAAACTCTGCCTACCAATACCGCTACTTTCTTTGTATCATGTTTAGAATGATGGGGTAGATCTAGGATATATTGTAGATAAATAAACACCTTTTTTTTTTTTTTTTCAAAAAATAGACTTAGACTCTATCATTAAATCAACCATATCTTAGCACTGAGGAAGGTCAAACAGGCTGAAAGCTTAGCAATTGATAAGTAAGCTAAATGATAACAATGCTAATCTCTATCATCCTAAAGTTACAAATTTACTGGTCAATATCATCTACGTTACTTTTTAAAAGGATAGTTCCTACTCACAGTAAGTAAGTACTGTAACATCTACGTTATGTTTTTACTTACTTTAAATTAATATTTTATTACATTGTTACAAATACCATATTTAGACAACAGTTAATGCTGTTAATAAGACCATTACAGTTCGTGGTCCGAATGACCAATTAACATTTTTCAATTAATTAATATTCATCTTATTATTAATATTTAATCCCATTAATAAGTAAGAAAAATATATTAATTTGAATTATACTAAGACTTTGTTCTTATACCTTAAGTATTTAATTTAACTAGATAGTTAACTTAGTTTTTATTGAGAATAATGCCTTTGAATTTGAGAATAGAATATTAAGATCTATTACAATTAATTAAGGTTTTTGGTTGAGATGGGGAGTTGATGTCCGAGTGGATCGAGGTCACGATAGCTCAGGTGGTAGAGCAGCAGCGTATCTAGCCGAAGGTCCTGGGTTCGAATCCCTCTCGTGCCATTGACTTTTTTTTCATCTCAACTAAAAACCTTAATTAATTGTAAAGTATTAATTGGTCAAGCGGACCATGAAATTAGTGAAATTAAGATCTATTTCTACCTAATTTTACATTATAATCAGAATGTCTTGTAGATGACTGTCTATAAATTTGAGTATTTGGTATTTATTTTAAAATATCAATACAACAAAACAGTAAAAGAACAAAGAATAAAAAATAAAAAAGACATTAAAAACTTTTTTACAAACTTATAATAATTATGTAATAGCAAAGGTGTTTCACATAGAATAAACACTGCACAAATATTTTTAGTTAGAAGTTGTTTCATTCAGCATAGTTCTTTGGAGACTGCACACAAAGCTGAAATACAATTGGACCATATGCGAGAGAAGCTAGTGTAACAAATGTACATTTTAATAAATGTCTCACCGCTTTTAGTATCCAAAGTAGTCACAATGGATAGAGTAAAAAAATACGAACTTAAATATCATTAAAAAAACAAAATGTCAAATGTAAAGAAAAAATTTTCTACTTAGAGGGCATGTTGAATTTTCACATGTTGACTTTATTTATTACAGTTAATATAGTTTTGCAATTGCTTGTAATCTGATAAACTTTATTTTCAGCTTCGCATTAAAAAGTAATTAAATATGAAATTTATATTTAAAACAAAATTGCTTACATGGAATACAAATTTCTTAAGGAAACACATTTTAAAGAAGCTTTCGCACTCACAGTTCACTAATTAATTATATAATTTCACGCTGAAAGTTCAGTATTATCCTTCTTTTTTTTAATAAAATACTAAATTGCAAAAAAAAATATGGATAATTTTATTAGATTGTCTTCAAAAATACGTGTACCCCTCACTGTGAAATTATTTATACTGCTAAACTAACAACTTAGAAATGTTTTTGCATGTTTCTGTAAGAGTGAAACAAAAAAAAAAAGGAAAACACCAGAAACCGTAATCAAGACAAACTACTACATAGCTGGTTATTTTATTTACTCCTTTAATACAAAAAAAAGTTCATGAAATAAAAAAAGACACAGACTGCCAAATGAATTGTCAAACCTTTAATCTGCACATGCAACACAAAGTACTTACATATATTCCCAATTCCTATTAACAATTTTGAAAACAATTGATTAACTACAACAGTACCTTAATTTTATTCAGTTGTTCAGGATAAAACCACCACCAGTCTTAGTAAGTACTGACCCAATATAAATGGTTAGTTCATTTGTTTGGTTTTTTATCCAACTTTTCGTTCCAAGATGTCGTTTATTCACTGTACAATAAGCATGCGCATGATGGAATGTATGCCCTAAGCATGTGAGTGGCATGAAAACCGAACTAAATACCTGCTTAAATATTACAAATTGTCACAGACTTTCATTTATATGAATTATGTATTTGCACAATGTTAGAGTTTAACATTCTTAAACCATTAATTTCTTTAATAATCTACAAATTTATTCGCCAAAAATCAAACCATTAAGACAAAAATTAAATAATAAACTTATAGGGGTATTTTATTTTAATCCTTTGAAAAATAAAACAACACTGTGTAAAATTAATTGTCAATCAATCGCTCAGATAAAAAATAAATAAACTAAAATTTACTGAAAGAAAAATAAAGACTTCAGCATATATTGTTTTTCTTAAACTCTTAAATAATATTATGAAAAAGTAAAATAGTATCATTTTTCAATTTTCTATTATGTATAATCAAATAGATTGACAAAATGTTTTTCAATTATTACCGTCAGTTTTTTCTTATTGTATTTGTCTGTCATTAATGGGTAAAATTTGTGAATTCATACAACATATTTTAGCGTAGCATTACTTATAGAATAGCATAACAAAATAAGAATTTAGCAATACATAAAGCAAAGTGCACATACTGGAAAATAAAGCTTGAAATTCTCCAATTGTCTTTAATATAAAATTTGGATATATATATTATTGCGTTCATTTACTTTGCAATATAAAGAAAATGTTTTAAAATTTTATAAAAAATATAATGTTTTCAATTAATTATTAGATATATTGTATGAAATGTGTACCGTTTTTCACCGTTTGGACTACATGATATAATTCCAGCAAATTTGCGCAAAACAAGATAGTTTACACACATAAGAAAAAAATAGATTTCACCATTAATGCTTACAAGTGTAAATTACATTTGCTAATTTATCATTTAAACATTCTTATAATTGCAGTTTTTAAACAAGTAGACTAATCTGGAAACATTTGGCTACCATGAGGCATAAATCAAATAATTTTAAAGTAAATTTGTAATTTGTGGTACTCATAGTAGTTTATTATTATAACAACTCATGTTGACAGAGGTTGTTTTCCTGTAGATTCACATGTTTAGTTTATTAAATAAATAAAAAACTTTCACACCTTAATAAAAAATTTATAATTTAATAATCAACAATATTAAATGTTAAAATATTAATTAAAATGCAAAATAGGGTTTTTTAGGTGTTAAATACTTCAGAAATTTTGTGTTTTTTTTCCTACATCTCCATATTTCTCATTTGCAGATTTTCGTTCGTGCTCAATTTGATTATGATCCTTTAGAAGATGATCTCATCCCATGTGCTCAAGCGGGTATCGCTTTCAAAACAGGTGATATTTTACAGGTAAGTTATTATGGTGACTCAGGACTATTAAAATCAGTCTGATCGATGATCATTTCCAAAATTAGATAATTAGTAAAGACGACCACAATTGGTGGCAAGCGAGGAAGGACAACGCGGGCGGATCTGCTGGTTTGATCCCCTCGCCGGAACTTCAGGAGTGGCGAACAGCTTGCACAGCCTTGGAGAAAAACAAACATGAACAAGGTAAATGTCAGCTTTTATTTTTTCAACCAATTGTGGCTAAAAAAATTCAAAAGCGGAAAGAACGGACTAAGTTCCAGCAGGCTTCATAATTTCTCATCCATTATATTTTTTGCAATTTGAAAAATGTGTTTTATTACATTAGAATGATTGGGTCACACAAAAAACATTACTTTTTTCCACGACGGACTTCAGTTAATATCTTATATGTTGATTGTGTACTTTTGAAACAACCAGGAATTTATTTATTATTAACTCACTGAAATAAACTAGTTAATAGTTAAAAATGCTTTTGCATACAAATATTTAATGCTGATTGCGTAATTGATTCTTACAACTACTATGTTGGTACACTTTTAGTGCTCAAACAACATACAAATCATAAAATAGGAAAAGAAAATAAGAATCAAACTTTAAATCCTGATTTTTATTAGTTTTATGTCATATAATTATTATATTAAAACTTTTTTAAATCCATAGATGTCATTTTCACTTAGAAATATATTTTCGAAATACTTTCTAATATTTTTCAATTTTAGAAAAACTACTCTAACTAAAAATTAACTAACCAATTAAAAATTAGTAGCCCTCAATGATGTAGGTACATTTCTAGTCACATACAGGATATTTCATAGCTAGTTTTGGCAAAACTATTTGACTGTTTCGGTCGAACGCTTTCGGCTAAGCTCATTTATTGGCCTGCTCACAACAACCAGGATTAACTTGCCTATAACAGGACTGTTGGCACGACTCAGAGTTTTTTCTTATTTGTGCTCGAGCCTTGGCTTGACCTGTCATAGCCTGCATCTTTGCAGCTAAACGTCTGCCACCACGTTAACACGTTGCCTGTTCTGTACATTTCACTGGCCATCGAGGGGTATCCCAATAAACACATTGATTATAATTTTTTTTTTTTTTTTTTTTTTTTTTTTTTTTTTTTTTTCCCCGAGTAAGCTTTGAAATTTATTGTCCCTTTTTCTAAATGTATTTTTATAAAAAGGCAAGTAATAAAGGCAGAAAATTATCCAACACACTCTCCCTTTTTTTTGTTTAAACCGCGAGTTAAAGATACACCTGCTGAGGCCCTAACTTGAGGTCGCTGAAGCCCCAGACCCACCTAAGGTTAAAGTTAAGGCTAGCAGTTGGCCTCTTTGTGGCCAATGTTGGTTGGCCTTCGTGCTGCCAAATTACTATTTACTTTAAGGCCGAAGAGGTCGTTGCTTTTAATGCAGCCTGGCAAGTTGATGGCTATTCTTTTCTTGAGAACATCTAGCCTTTTGATCTCTTTGCTATAGTATTCAGTTGCCACAGTATCTACATGAAATGCAACATATTGCCAAACAGTTAAACAAATCTTAGTCCTTGGTTTATTTTCATGGATATCAGATCTTGACCTACGTTTGATCTTAGCTATCTCTATACCGAATATGGTCGGCATAACTGGAATCCCTCCCAGTCTGCTCTATGGAATATTTTAACTTGAATTTTTTATAAAATTTAAATTTTGGGATCATGGCATTATCATGCATCCCCAAAACTTTGACTGCCTGCAGTTCCTCCTTTTTATGCACGTACGCTTATTGGAGCCTATCTCTACATTAGCCTGTGAATTGGGGCTCTAATCCTAGATAAATTAGTAGATTCAAGAAGACTCAAGACCTCTTGTTAGTATTGATCCTGACTACTTTCAGTTGGAATGTCTTGGGTCCACTGCGTCCAGCCACCAATCCATAGGTTATCATGAGTCTTACTACCGCTGTGTATAAACACATCTTTTAATTTACTCCCCAGCTTTTCCTAACTTTTGTATGACTTTATTTAGTTGCTGATTCTAAGAAAGAATTTTGTCAAAGATGACCCAAGATCTTCTAGGATTAGGAAGTTTTCGTTAACCCTTTAAAATTTGTGAAAAGAAAAATTATAAGAATAAAAAATAAAAATTTGACTGCATTCCACATCATTGTTTACTTCCTACTTATCCCACAAAATTGGTTGTAGCTGTTAAATCAACATTGCATTTTGATGATCCTGATGATCATCTTCAAAGCAAGGATCTGTTAGAGCAGCTGTGATATATATTTTCGACTGTTTCATCAAATAATTATTTGAGCTTGTCATTAATTGACTTTGTATTATTAAAAATTATTGTGTTTTCAATTTTTTTTAAGTGTCTAAAAGTTTAAAAATTTATTCTAAAACCATTTGAATTAAATTGGTCAAAATTATAATTTATTTTAATTATTAGAAAAGCTTTATACATCTCCAAAAGTGTACATTTAATACAAAATGTTTCAAAAATTAATACATAATCAACATTAACAATATGTGATCATTTAGTTTTGTTTAAAAATTTTGTTCCATCAAAGTATGAGAGATGTGTTGTTAGAAAAAAAAAATATAAAAACTAACCCAGAGATTAGGAAATGACTCATATCTGTATGCAAAGGTGATTCAGGGCCAGGGTGTTCATCCCATACTGACGGGTGTGATGGTTCTACAGGTAAAGACAATAAGAAAAAGAAATTAGCATGCTGAGAAAAACAGTACTCTGTATTAAAAGACAATGGCTATATTAAGATTTTTAATAAGCACAGCATAAAAATTTGTGGTCCTATCGAATTACATTCAAAAAAGCAAATTCTTACTCACCATAGAAAGTATCACATTGCATATGTGCATTCAGAATGTTCAATTTAAAATTTAAAATATAAAAAAAATGAAAATAAAAATTAAACTTTTTTTTTCATAGTAAAAGCACAAATGTAAATCTGATTAAAGTAGTTTTGCTTCTGTAGATGCATTTGAAACAAAACAAACCATTTTTTGCTTTTAATTCGCTTTTGATAATAATAATGATTATGTATTGCCAATAGAAAGTCGTGGAAAGTTGAAAGGTAATGAACGAACACCAGCAGCTTATATTTGAAATATACAACCCACGTCTTAGACCATTCAATTTTTTATATATTTTTTAATATTGAAACTAAAATGCTTTTAATTTTAATGACTGATTACAGTAGTGTGTGAGTCGATTGTTAAAGATTCACTATTATAAATTATTATTTACTTATAGTTGATTTTAGCACAGCATTGGGTTGCATAAACAGTCTTAAAGCTTTCATCATGTATTTTGACATAAAATGAAGTGAAATAGAGTGCGATTGTGAGGAGGTCACAACAAATATTTAGTCAGCCCAATTTAGGGCTAGGTGTAGACAAAACCTGTTTCAGAAAAAAAAATCCCCTGAATTCTACGGCTTCCATTAGCTTCAATTAGTTTTGCTGATAAGGTTTTGTGTGAGAGTGTGAGCTCGTTTCCCCCTAAGGTTGAATTGAATGATTGATAGATGGTACATCAAGTGTACTACCACTTGTAAATATGTACTTAGGCCTGGCTACTAAGATTGAAACACCCTTTTAGCATGAGGATTTGCATTAGGTTTTTTCTAATTGGCCTGCAATGTACAACTGACACACGTTAAAAAAAAATTTCACACTTATGTTTAATTAGAGTAATGAATGCTAGTGATTATTGTCCAACTACAGTTGCTAATTGCACTGTAATGTTTGTTTAATAATATTTGTAAAAAATCATTATCATATTTTCAGCCTCTCTCTCCAAATCTTTTCTTATTTTCTATTAGCTTTCATGTAATGAATAATTGATATTTTTTATATTTATTTATATATTTGTATATATGAAATTCTTTTGCATGTAATACTTTTAACTTTGCCTATTTTTTCAGTTTCTTAATATGCGAAAAGGGACATTTTCTTTGAAAATTAGTTAAATACAGACACTTTTTTTTCTCTACAAATCACTTGACTCCTATACTTTCATTATTAATAAATTAATTGGTCTGTAATATTTTTATTGTTTTGATAACAGCAATAATGGAATGCTAATTATTGATTTATTTATATTTTTATAGAAAGTATGCCAGTTTAACTCTTTTTGATTTCTTGTATATATTTTTCAAAATGCCAACTTCCAGGGAATATTTTTAAAAATTGATTTATTTAAAATATTTGTTCTTTTATCAAGATCGTAGGCTGCTGACTTTAATAATTAATCTTTCCCTTCCAAAATTAAACTTAGGGCAATACTTTTTTTTAACATTTTCAAACTTCAGAAATTGATTTGGTAAGCTCTACAGAGGTTGTATAAATCTTATAACCTGTTTAAAAGGCATACGTAAGATCATTTTGTTAAACTCGATTTCAACTGGTTCCACAAAATATTTATTTGTCAATGTATATGTATTTTTGAACAAAGGACTTTATTTATACCATTGCATTGGGGTTATTTTGTTTTCAAACCTCACTGAACTCTACCTAATCACCTGCTGGAACTTGAAATCTTACATTTATTTAAGTGACTTTGAGAGAATAGTTATATAAATTAACAAAATCTTTACACAGATTTACACAATTAAAATCTTATTGTACATAAAAATAATATTATTTTTGTATATCCTGGCTTCTTTTCAGTCTGCTGTTTCCTACATTCTGTAAAATTGTATTCTTGAAATTTTTCTATTTCCATTTGATTGAATTTACAAGACCTCACTTAAACTGCCTGTTTAGACTGTAAGTTTTCTAATATGAAAAATACATATAGATGAATGATTGTAGCATAAAATAGTGTTTTGTGAATGTTTTGGTGACAAATTCATTGAAGTTTGTACCAGAAATCTTTGAGGTTTAGAAAACACTTATATTTGTAAAGCTTGGTTCTTGTAGGTAATAATTGTTACTATTAAAACTTATTTAAATGCCTCTTTTTTTCTTCTTTTTTTTAGTTAATTGCTCAATCTTCGGTCGAAAAAAGAAGCAGTATAAGGATAAATATTTAGCCAAACACAACGCAGTTTTTGATCAACTTGATTTGGTAACCTATGAGGAAGTAGTTAAGTTACCTTGTGAGTGCAATTTCAAATTATTTTGTCTGGCATCAATTGAGCAAAAGGAATATAATAAATAATATTTTTAGCATTTTTAAGAAAAACATTAGTACTACTTGGTGCACATGGTGTAGGTAGGCGACATATCAAGAATACTCTCATTGCGAGGCATCCTGATAAATATGCTTACCCGATACCCCGTAAGTATCAATTTACTGGTAGTAAAAATCAGGATAATCATTTTTTTTTTCATTTTTTTAAGACACAACTAGGCCACCAAGAAACGATGAAGAAAATGGCCGAACATATTATTTCGTGTCAAATGATGAAATGATGACAGATATCGCTGCAAATGAATATCTCGAATATGGTAAGTCATTTTATTTGTTTTGATAGAGAATTAACATAGTCTTACACATTACCGAAATGCAGGCAGCCACGAAGATGCCATGTACGGCACCAAGCTTGAGACAATTAGGAAAATTCATGGAGAAGGAAGTGTTGCGATTCTAGATGTTGAACCGCAGGCTCTCAAAATGCTGAGAACCGCTGAATTTGCCCCGTATGTTGTTTTCATCGCTGCACCCCATCTAAACACATTAGCAGATGTAAGTAGTTAAATTATTGCTTAGTAATTCCTGTCATTCAGGAGGGCTTGTCCATCTCACATTGGGTGTTGTGGATGAGTGGTCATACCAATTCTTTCATATTATACGAAATTTTTGAATTGAATGCTGTGCTGGGATTCAATCCCACAACCACACCGCAAATACAAGTCAGAGGATTATTTATTATTTATTAGCCCTATTTATATAATTAATATTTCAACATTTTTTTAAATATTAACGATCTTGTTTCAACATTTTAATATTGAGACAATATGAGTTAGCAAATAGTTAAAAATTAAACTGTTAAGCATATTTTAAAAAAATTCTGTACAAAAATGAAATGTATTAATCAAGCCACAATTACGTGTAAAGATGTGTGGTGATTAGTGACCGTTAATTGATAATTATTTAGAAATCATGAGATGCGGTCTGGTGTGATGTAGGTTTCAGAAAAACATTTTCTTTATCGTTCCAATGATTCAATCTTTATTAAGATCATCTTCAGGGCCTGGGATTTACAAACATTGTTTACATTTAATAAATACATTGGATGTGGAAAAGTGAACTTATACAATGCAAAATATATTTTTTATATATTCAATCAAAGTATTTCTACTCACTCAAAGTGTTTGTCTTCTGTGTAATTGTGTCATTCTTGCGTGTCGTGTCGAGAGTGCCCAAGATGATCTCAATAAAGATCGAAACGTTGGCACGATAAAGAAAATGTTTTTCTGAAACCTACATCACACCAGACCGCATCTCACGATTTCTAAATAATTAAGTGTAACTTTTGGATTTTACAAAAAATGATATATGTGTATAATTATGTTTGTTACTTTGACTTACAGTTTGATGGAAGCTTAGAGAGGCTTGCAAAAGAATCTGAACTTCTGAGGCAAGCCTACGGTCACTTCTTTGATTTGACGATAGTCAATAATGACATAGACGAGACGATAGCAACATTGGAGAAAGCACTTGACAAAGTGCATTCGACTCCTCAGTGGATCCCTGTCTCCTGGGTCTATTGACACGGTGGGATAGACCATGTTTAAAATGTGGCAGTCAGGGCAGATAAAAATAGTTTTTTTTCTCATTAAAAACTCCAACAGATTTGTAATGTTATAAATACATTAAAAAAACACATTTACCTCATGTTTCATGGATAAGGGTTATCCAACAGCAAGATTGAACTTGCAAATAAATAATTTAAAAAAAGAACATTTTTAAAATTCTATTGTGAATGTGATAAACAAATTGTGGGTATTATCAATTAATGTATCAGACTAAATCAAATTGAAACTAGCTGGGATGAGAGAATCGATTTTAAAAAAGTAATTAATAATTAAAGTCGAAAAGGTGGATTGTAATTAACATATGGCCTATGAATCACTCTACACATTATTTGTATAATGAACGTGTCGTAGGATTTCTTCACATTGGATATGAGATTAGACATTCTGTGATGTTTTGGTGTACCTTCATACATGCAATTTAAACATAAAAAAATTATAACACCTATTTGAAAATTGCTGGAGAAAGGGCTTGTAAAATCTATTTGAACAGGTCTTCAATTATTTCTGGGCCAACTTAAATTGTAAGTAAATTTTTAAAAAAATTTATATATACCAAAATCTTTATTAAACTTTATGATCTTGTAATGAAAAAGCTCATTCAATATTTTACGTGGAAAATGGTGTAGAGGTATTAGTTTATAACACTTTTAATAATTGTAGACATCATCATCATCACAGTAAAAGTTATGATTTTTTTGTCTTAACTATCATATTTAATTTTTAAACTATGAGGGGTACTACAGTAATGTTACAGTAAGGGTCAGCATATTTCAGTGAATTAAAATTTTAAAATGAAAATTTTGTGTCATCTTGAATTACGCTGCGTCTTTAACAAACTTCCAGTTGAATGAGTTCAGTTTTGTTTTCTTTGTAAACGAAACTTTTTTAATGGTATATAAGGAAAAACTCAAGTAATATCAGATTACAATTCACTATATGTGTGATATTGTATTGGCCATTGGTCTCTTGTCTTCTTGATTGTTCCCTCTCTGTGAACTTTATAAGCTTAATTATTAAACTGTTTTTTACAATAACAACACAATGTAGAAATCTGTTTTAAATTTGACGGCTTCCTAATGAAATTTTTGTGAAGAAGTGTGGTTTTACATTCATTTTTGTGCACTCGTTCTTAATTCCTAAAAGCATTTTCTCTCATATTTCTATACCCCTCATATTTTTATACATATTTAATATTTGTTTGAAAATTAATCCCTATATTGTTTTATATTGTGGTTTCCCAATTGTAATAAAAGATTTTGCCCAATAAATCATTTTTCCAAACAATTCATAAGTGTTTTACTAGCCAATAGTTGAAAATAGTGCCTACAAACTGGTTTGTGATTTTGAGATGAAGTTATTTGGCAAAATCTTTTTAAGCATGAACTAAATAATTTGTTTTATTTGGAAAAAAATCTAATGTTCATATCATAACAATAGGTCATGTATTAATTAAATTATCTTCTAAGGTTAACACCAAATGAATTTAAATTTGTTTGAAAACTGAACATTTATACTCAGGCATTTACGGCTTGGAAAGAATTCATAAATTTTAAATATAGGACAAGAATTGGATTTTGAAAAATTAGTGTTTTTTGCCTCCAAGCACCATAATACCGTGCTTGAGGATTTTTTGAAAATTTGGTGTGTACAAAATATTTAAAAAAAAAAATTAAAACTGGTCAAATGAAATTTGACTTACAGTGGAATTAGATCTTTAATTTATAGAAAACAAAATACCATTAAAATGTGTGCTCTCTTCACAGAATATTTTACCATGTAAATAGTGAAGTGTAGGGGACAAAGTCTCGTTTCAAAGTAGGGGCCAATATTTTGTGAAAGTTTTAAAAACATTTAAGGGTTAAATAAAAGAAATTGAAATAATTTAAGCACAATTTTAAAAAAAATCATAATGTAATTGTTTTTAATGTGTATGTTTTGTGTAAAACAGCTATTATTTTTATTTTTTGTTAATGTTTTTCTTTCCTAACCCTATTTATTTGTATAGGTTTTAATTATAGAGGTAGTTACCAGAAATGAGGTTTAAAATCAAAATATATTAAGCATACAGTCGTGCAATTAATTTTAATTAATACTTATTTTTGTCGTCAGCCTGTTTTTGTTCCCAATGTTCTGGTGACATGAGCATAAAACATTTATTGATCAAACATGAGTTATCTTGACTACTCCACAGTTAAAATTAGGCAGTTTAATATATAAACAAGTTGATATCAATGTTTTCAATTTTACAACAGCATTTGAAATCAACTGTGTGTATATTGGATTAAAAAATTGTAAATATATCTCTTTCTCTCTTTTTTAATAATGTTGAATTGTAGTAAATGTGTGATAGTATTCTATTTATTCAATTTAACTTTCTGACCTATTGACTCTACTTACATTAAATGTAAGTTTAAATTTTAAAGGATGGATTCTTGTAAAAACCTCACAATGAGTTATTAATAATTTTATAAATCTATGGTAGGTAATGCATTAATATTCTCTATCACACAAAATATAATTTGTTTTTCCTGTATTATTGTTGTTTACAATTTTATACATTTCAATGTTTTAATGTTACATTTATTGTGTAAATATATATTATAACATTTACCACTATTTTAGGGTTTAATAAATTCTCTATTTTTGCTCATTGTGCTGAAGGTTTAAACTCCAATGACCAACAAAATCAATTTCATGCTAGTTTGTTCGGTTACACTGTTGTCACAGTTTAGCAGGTTATTCTATTTTTAAATTTGATTTTAATGCAAATTAAAGTGCCTCAGTTTCTGGTCTTCTGAGCTGTAGATATAAAGCTGGGTTCGGCTCAAAGTCGTATGCATTGCCCTAATATAAAGACTTATTTTTATCCATGCTCACAATACCAAAAACTACTTTTTTCTTAAAACTATTAAGATTGTGATATATGCACTGCTTTAAAAAGCTTATATTCATTGTGATTTAAGATTATTTTTGTTCGATTAAACACAGTAGCAATTGTTTTTTATAGATAGTTCGATAGTCAATGATGCTTCTTCTCATACTGTAAATTGTGACAACAGGGGAAAAGTAACAAATTCATTCAACAGGTCAATTGTGGAGTATTGACTATGTTTTTAGCTCAGAAATCACCAGAAGAACGTCAAAATGTTGAATTTTATTTTTGACCCTCAAGGCAGACAATCCCCTTGAAACTAAACTAACATTTGTATTTGAAATAGAAATGTATGAGCCATTTGTTTTGAAAACAGAGACAACAGTACATTTGTTAAATATTTGTGAATATAACAAAAACACTATGGAAAAAATTTGTCGCAAACTACATATAAAAGATTAAATGTAGGCATTTTAGAAATTTACAAAAGTATATGTATTGTTTTTGAAAGAAACTCATACTGTTAGCTGGAAATTAGATCATACAAACAAAAAATAAAAGGTTTTTTTTTATATTTTGATCCTTGTATAAAACTCCATTTGAGGAAATAATGTATAATGGAAAAAATTATGTACATTGTGTCTGTTACATAGAGCTCATATCTTGTGAAGAGAAAAACCTGAGATTGACTGTACAATCCACACTCAAAATATAAATATATACATAAAATTATATATTAAGATTTTTTGAAAATATTGTTATAGATATTAAATAAATTTATAACCTAATGTAACAAATGTTCTTGTTTTAATAGCAATAATGTCAGATATGTAATATAAAAATTATATTATTCCATAAAAACACTGACTTTTTTTTTAAACTTTTATTAATAACCAAGTTATTCTAAACAATCCCTTCCTAATGCAATAATATATTTTGTTTTATTTTATTTATTTACAGTCCAAACCAAGGTCAGGTACCCAAGCATAGGACAGTCAAGCAGCACAACAAATATAACAATTAAACAATCATTATGATGTAAAATACTAAAAAGGATATAAAAATAATAGCAGTAAAAATAACAGCAAAGCGCTTACACTTTTAACAAAAAATCAATATTAAAAATAGATTAATAAATAACACAACAAAAGTAATAAATAAACCCTCAATTACATTTTAAAGCACGTTTAATTTTTTTTTTTTTAAAGATCTGAAGAGACGAGGAGAAGGAAAGCACTGATAGCGAATTTATTTAAGTAATGCACAGCTGTGGAGATTGAAGATTGTAACCCGTATTTGGTCTTGTGCCGTGAAGTACCAAACAATTCATGGGTCCGTAGTTGACGTTGGGGAACCCTAAAGTCAATACAAGATAATATCTCCGGGGAATCGATAAAATTATTTAGGATCTTCCACAGAAACACAACGGAAGCCAAAACTTCTATCCTCCAGAGAATCCAGGCCTACGAGAGCCTGGCTCATAGGAGCAATGATGGTAGTTCCTGTGATTGCATAATTTGTAATACAGGTATTTTGTGGCCTTTCTCTGTACCCTTTCTATCATGTAAGACCCATCTAAAGAACTCGGCGACCAAACAACACTGGCATACTCTAGGTGACTGCGCACCAGAGATTGATAAAGTAATTTTATTGCAAAAGGGTTCTTAAAGTCAGCAGTTTGCCTGAGTACGAATCCTAAATTTTTAAAGGATTTATTTCTAATGGCATGGATATGGCCCCGAAAATCACAATTCTTATTAAAAATAACCCCGAGATCCGAGGTAGTATCTACTTCGTCAATGTGATAACCTTCGATATTATAAACGAATTGGTCGTGATCATGAATTATTTTTTTCTTGCTGAACTTCAAAATCTTACATTTATTTTCGTTTAATTTCAAATTTAAGGGGCCGCGGTAGCCGAGAGGTTAGTGTGAGAAACTCTCGGCTCATAGATCCCGCGGTCATGGGTTCGATTCACACCGTCGCCTCTGGCCTTTTTTTCAAGCTCCCTTTCCCCCCCCCCAAAAAAAAAAAAAAACAAATATGCATGCATAATAACATTGTCTTTGGCTAATATGCTCAGAACATAAAGCCATTAAAAAAAAAAAATTCAAATTATTATGGTTACACCAAAGCCAAAAGCGATTCAAGTCATTTTGCAAGAGAATACAATCATTCAACGATTCGACAGAGCGATAAATTTTCATATCGTCTGCTAACAATGAAAATAAAGAATTAATGAGAGCAGAGTCGACTTCATTAAAAAATAAAAGGTAAAAATAAAAATAAAGGTAAAAAATAAAATATTGTTAGTTGATGGGTAGGAAATAAATTGTATTAGAAATTATGAATGAAGTGGGTGTGGAGTTCAATCCTTTTTAACAAGTTGGTACAGTAAGTACTGTGAGTAGGAACCATCTTTTTAAAAAGAATAAATTGTATTTTCCACTATAGGCGTTTATTTCGTCAAACGCATTCTAATTATACACAGGTAATTACATAATTAAAGGGAGGTTGGTGTCCGAGTGGATCGAGGTCACGATAGCTCAAGTGGTAGAGCAGCGGCGGATCTAGCCAAAGATTCGTGGGTTCAAATCCCACTTGTGCCATTGACTTTTTTATCTCAACTAAAAACCTTAATTAATTGTAATATATTAATTGGTCAAGCGGACCACGAAATTAGTGAATTTAAATACATACTTAAATTTGAGCTAATAATAAAGAATATACCAAAATATAATTGTAATACTTAGAACTGCTTTAAATTTCCAAACCTTTTTTTTTAATAAATAGTTTGACGGTTTGTTACATAGTTGTAAGTTTAAAAGTGGATATCTGGAAATAAACACCTATTGTGGAAAAGACAATTTATTTCCTACCCACCAACTTATTATGGAGTTCTACAAAATTAGGATGGACACTGTCAAAAAATAATGTAATAACATATTCAGAATCAAATTCTGAGAGTGGTGGGAACGGTGCCGTCGTGTGCGGACATGCTAACATGCTCTCTGTTGGCTTTGGCATTTTCAAGTGGAAAAATTGATCTCTGTGAGCAAAAATTAGCAGAGGTCTTTCCTAGAGACTCCTCTCTAACTGGAGTGGATTACATAGCTTTATTTCCCACAGTCAGTCCTTTAATTGTGAAATTATTCAATTTCTTAAACTTGTATCTTTGCCATGCCAACTGTGGAACCGGTACAAGGGTCTGTCTGGTAACATCCTGGGTTCAGGGCAGTGACACTGGCTACCAAAAACAAAACAAGCAACCCGTCTTGACCATGGATAAGACCAGGAGATAGGAGGTGTCAGCTGACTTTATGTCAACATTCATATCTCCAATACTACCATTACTGCCTGACACAATTTCTGCTCCACCACATCTACGAACCACATAATGCAAACGACGCATATAATATAATGTTAGCAAAATAAACAAACACAATATTGTCACAGCCTCAACTTCTTTGGTCTTGTGCACAATCTTGACACCCACTGCTTCCAAGGCCTTACCATCCGAGGTGCCCATCCTAATGCCACTCCTGGCTGTGGCATGACATAAGACTGACATATATCGGTGACAGTAAGTTGAATAGAGGGTCAAACAGAAGTGAAAATTGGGAAGTTAGTGAGAAGTTATCCGGATTCAGTTCAGCATGAGATCAGCTGTTTGAGACTGAAGTATGAGTCCTGTTGGACTGTTGGAGTTCGTCACCAAAGGATGTCTCCAGCAGCCTGCCACCTGCAAGATTGACAACGCAGCATATCTTTACTGCCATGCATGAAGATGTACACTGAGAAATAAAGCGATTGTAGGCCAGTGGAGCCACCCCTTAAAATGATTCAATTATTAAACTAATCCATTTTTCCCATACATAACTATTCTACTTCTTTGAGGAATATCCCAGGGCACAGAGGAAAGAGATCTGTACTACAATATAAAGATAAGCTTACAACAATATCAACTTACACCTTGAATAAGTAAACAACTAACTTCTAATGAGAATCTAAAAATTAAAAGGTAACAAATTTTTAGTTCTAACTAAAAATTAGCCTCCCCATGGCTAGATGTAGTAACACAAAGCAAAACAAGAAAAAATTAGTTGAATGGTTGGGATCTGACGGACCTCTAAACTAGCCACCATGTGACATTAATTTTTATTTTGGTGCTTAATTATATTTTAGTTAGCACAGCCAGGATGGTGAAAAGTATAGGACAAATAAGTCAAATTAATTATTTTTACCTGCCTTCAAAAATAAATGGCCTAACAAAAATGAATTACTAAAACTATCCATAACAGAAAACAAGAAAGGTAATGAAAATAAGAATATTTAAAATCACCATTTTCTTTAAACTGATTCAATATAATTTTATGTAAATTACTTTAAAATAACATCATTTTTCATATGTTATCAGCTTGTATAATCATTTACTATTTTTTTTTTAAATTAGCGCATACAATTTTACTGAGTTTACAAAGTAGTTGAAGAATCATTACTAGGATTTGCTAAGTTCAAAACCTCAAGAGATATGTGGCTACATGGTTCGTCCTGCTAGAAGGTTTTCCACTTTCTCTCTTTCCCTGAATTTCAACGGATCAACGAATCTATGGGGCACACGGATGCCGATGATAAACTGTCGTGCCAGCTGGACTCCTCCAAATGCAAACGGGTGCCTCCGTTGTAGTGAAAGGAGTTCATTTCTGAAGAGTTTCTTGTAATTGCTGAGTCTCGCCTTGATTCGGTCCGAACATACCAATGTACTAAAAAATAAAACCATATGTTTATTATAAAACTGAGTTATTTCATATTTACATTTCTATGGTTTTTTAAATTTATTATATTCAATAATTTGATTTATATAAACCAAAATCCTATTACTAATTAGTCTCAATGATTTTTTTTTTTTTTTTTTTTTGAAATTACAATTACATTCTTAGTGAGGTAAAGTTGTAGAAACCTGGGGTACGGGCCTACTCAGGCTTTTAACCCCTCGGGTCCTGGTCGCCCGCCCTGTGTAATATATAAAGTTGTAGAAATAAACTTACTAAGGACGTTTGAGATCTGTGTAACTGGGAAAAATGGAAGCGTCTGATGCAAATAATTCTGGATAGGCTGGGTTAAAGTAACGAGCTTTTGGACTAATCTGTTGAACATTTGTGATCTGTAGGTCAGCTTTTGAAGGTGTTTCTTCTTCTTCTATGTTTTCTTCGTCTACTGTACTGTCTGTTTTTGTGTCACTCAGTTTTCTGACATCACCTTCATCCATAAGCTCTTCCATGCCACTGACTTCAATGTCTCCTTCTTCAAATGTTGCTAAAGTTTCATCATCCCCTTTCATTTTTGCCGACAATTCTTCATCAATTGAAAACAACACTTCATCTTGTTCTTCTTGTTCTTCTTCTTCTAATAAAACCAATTCATCCTCTTCCTCTTCCACCTCCTCTTCGACTTCTTCTTTATGAGACTGTTTACTTTCATCTTTAGTTTCTTTTCCTTCCCATTTCATATCCTTAAACTCCTCATCTTCTCCAAATAGTGTCTCATTTTCTTGTTCAAGACTTTCAAGATAATCTTCAAATTCAGCATCATAGACTTCACTCTCTTCTTCCCCGAGTTCTAATTCCTTTTGCATAGAATCTTCCATTAACTTCTGCCAGTAGGATGGGTCTTTAAGTTTAGCTAACTTTTCTATTCGTATTTGCAACTTTTCTTGGAATGCAGCTTCCTTTTTTTCTTTTTCTGCTTTCTTTTTTTGCTTCCTTTTAAACTCTGTGTATGTATCTACTTCCTTAAGTTGGCTGGAATGATCAGACTCTTTATTTCGTTTTTCATCTAAATACAAGAATTGCAAAGAGTCGTCACTGTCTTTAGCTTCAAATTCTTCCAGATTTTTCCATATATTTTCAACCACCATCTCTTCTTCTATGAGTTCCATCTCATCACGGATAGTATTTTGCCCAACAATGACTGATCTTATATAATCCATCTTCCCCATTTCTACTTCTTCTTCATCTGCTTCATATTCTACCCCTCTCGATTCGACTCCCAAAGGCTTGGTTATGCTATGGCAGCTTGCCCACTCCAACTCTGTTTCTATACTTTTCAATTCCGTTAACGATTGAGCTTCGAGTTCAAGTTCCTGAAATAGTAAACTTTCATCTTCTTCCAACCTTTCTTCATCTAACGAACCTTCTGATTCATGTTCGAACTCGACTTCCACAAATGCATCCGGCTCAATATCTATTTTGCGTTTGATTTCAATATGTTCTTTCTCAGATGTCGCAGGTGGCTTTTTACGCTTAGCTTTGCCTCGAATACGAGAAGCCAAACCTCCTAACGTGTTGCGGCTTTGCAAATTTTTAATAAGATTGTGGTAGTAAGCACTTTTTATGGGCTCCTTTTTGAACATGTCTACATACTTCATGTCCATGACTTTTCTTTGGGCTTTATGAAGATCAATTAATTCTTTTCTGGTTAACGGTTTTGAATCTTTCAAGTTTGTACTCTCCCTTGCGGACATTCTGTATTTTAACTGTTTATCCTTTGGCTTTGTTTTGGATGTGACTTTTTGTATACTCACTCGAGATTCTTCACCATCCAATTGAATTTCACCTATCAATTCCTTCCAATCTCGTTCAATACTGTCATCTATAAGATGTTTACCAACGAACTTGAACCAAATTGCTTTCATTTCTTCATGAGTACGTTTCTCCAGCTCTTTTTTCACAAAAGAAAAAGGAATTTCTTCTTCTTCTTGTTTTGGCTTTTGGTGGATCCCATCCGATTGGTATCGTGATTTGTAAGATCTTCTCTTAGAATCGGTCGTTCTCCTAGATGAGGATCTATGATGTATCAGTTCAGCACTCTCTTCTGGTTCTTCCGTCGCTTCTTTCTCATTTTCTTTCCCCTTGTCTGTGCCTTTGCCACGTTCTTCGCGTTCTTTAATTTTCAGAAGCTTTTCAAACACCCTCACCATCGGATCAACGACCCTTGCCACGGTATCTCCATAAGTGACATACGTCGGTGGAGCTTGTACTTTGGCGTACGATAAAGTTTGGTTACTTTCATCGTGATCCTCCATCGTGTTGAGGAAGTCTTGCAACAAACCAAGTTACAACAAACCCAGCACCCCCAGCAACGAATAAATAACTTGTCTAACCACTGAAATTAAATAGTAACGACTTCTGTTGACAGTTTACACGATTACTTTTTCGGATAACTAAAAATATATCAGTAACTTTTAAAAGGGATGCCTATTCTATAAAAATGCTAAGTTATTTAATTTCTAAACTAAACCAAATCTAAACATATGTACCGACATGTACAATACCTATTTATAAAACAAAATATTTTTTTAATGTTTTATTAGAAAGATTTTTTTATTTAATGTAATTTTCGTGCTTTTTATTTTGAGAATGTGAACGAAACTACAACTACATCGCTTCGAAATTGTGAAAAAATTATCTTTACAATATTAAAAACCGTGTTATTCCTAATTAAAAATACATAAACTGAAAAAAATATTTAAGAAAAAAGAAAAACTATTATCTTTGTAGAGTAAATTTTATGTATGTAAACAACGCCATTGTTAAAAAATGGCTGACATGCTGGTAACATGCTGGGCGTATTTAATGGGATATTTCAAACTGATAGTTTGTATTTTTTGTATTATAGCTTGTTTTTCGTTTGTTTTTATTTGCTAAGCTTTACCCACTGGCTATGTCAAATTTGTTGTTGTGGGTGACCTTAATGCCAGGGTAAGTATATTGCAAGATTTACCAGAAGACTAAAACAAGATGACTCAATTTATTAATCGCTTAAGAAAAACAAAGACAAAGTAGTTAACAGTCACGGGAAAAAAAATTTCTTGAACTCTGTGAAAACCATGACCTGGTTATCTTGAACGGGAGGGTGCCCCCTGTTGCAGGAGGGGAACTTTCATTTAAAGGAGTCATGGGAACATCAGTGATTGACTACTGTTGTGCTTCACTTGGTGTGTTGACAAAAATAAGTGAGTTTATTTGCTCCTTATGCAACTCAAAAGTATAGGAATATGTTTTTCACTTTGTAGCTGAGTGCTCGATTTTGTCAAAATATCGCCTTCTACATCTTCTGCCTTTCCCGCGTTGTATTTGTCCAGACCTTGAACGAAATAAGGAATTGTAAAGCCCTAATAGAAATGGTGAATGATAGGTGAGTGCTGTGTGCAATCCTTTTTTTAAAAACAATTAGCAAAAAACAGGTATCTAGAAATGTTTATTGATAGGTTGCTAGTTAAAAGAATAAAAAAAGTAACTTTACAAGAATCAACAATAGGACGCAGCCACCCCACCAAAAATGAATCATTAGGTTTCCGTTGTTTGTCATACATTGGTGAATTATCGGAAAAAGTTAGTAAAATTTTTAAACAAGAAGGTTTTAGAATAGCTTTTAGAAGTACGGGTTCACTTAAAAACATCCTCTCAAAACTTAACGACAAGGTAGACAACTTGACAAAAAGCGGGTTTTACAAACTCAATAATTGTAATGATTGTGATATTAAATATATAGGACAAAGCGGTAGAGAAATAAAAACGAGAGTAAAAGAACACTTGCCTAAATCGAGCAAATTTTCGTAATTTAAGGATCATCTAAAAGAAACAAAAGATAATTTCAATTCAAATTTAAATACAACAGTGTTACATAGTTTCAACAAAGGGAGAGAACTAGATTGGTTTGAGATATTTGAAATTAAAAAATGTAAAATTGAACATGGAGATAAATAAATTAATAATGTAATAGTGGGGGCGTCGGTGGCTGCACGGTTTAGGCGTTGACACGGCGCTCATCACTGCAAGGTAAAGGTCCTGGGTTCGAATCCAGCAGCCCTGCATACGAACCCGACATACTTACAAATGGGCTTTTTTTTTAAACACCGGCACCCTGAGGGTTTGTATGACCTCTGCTGTGAACCCTCGTAAAAAAATTTAAAAAAAATATATATATAATAGATTTTGATCTACCTCCCATTTTAAATGTGTACATATATAATATTAAATGTCCAAATAATTAAATTAATTATTTTAATTGTTATTATTTTTATAATAATTTAATAATATTAAGGTATTATTCTAATTTTTTATCTTTTAACTTTAATCACTAATTTATAATTAATTTCTTACAGTATTTACCATTATAATATTTACTTGTGTTATAATTCCCGCTTTTTACACGTTCAAATTGAGCGCCATTAAGTGAAAAAAGGATTGTAAAGCCCTTGCACAGGGGCGTCGGTGGCCGCAACGGTTTAGGCGTTGACACGGCGCACATCACTGTAAGGTGAAGGTCCCGGGTTCGAATCCAGCGGCCCTGCATTCGAACCCGACATACTTACAAATGGGCTTTTTTTTTTCAAAAACACCGACACCCCGAGGTGTATAACCTCTGCTGTTGCGAATGCACACTAAGCTCGCGATGCCTGGCAATATAGGTGTCAACTGATTCAGCAGTTCGATTGGTGAAAGCTTTTCAAGGAAACAGAAAAAAATGTAAATATATAATTCTATGTATCTGTATAAAATGAATACTAGTATTAAGTGATAATTTTCATTTGATTTGTTTTCACTTTTATCTTTCATTTTAGTTAACTCTCGACAGACGGGTTGTTATCCATGTCATATTGTGCTTTTTTTATATATCTGATTATTGTATAAAATCTAAAGTATTTAAAAAATAAAACAGGTAGTTTGCCGTCGTGTTTTAAAGAACCGTTCATTTTTCCCCTCTTTAATTTTTTAAAGAAAGACCTTTCGTAATGATGTGGTTAATGAGCAAACTGTATGATGGTCTCATATTGAACAAATTATAAGTTTGGGCTAGCCAAGGTGTTCTATGTGAATTTCAAGCAGGATTTAGATCTAATTAATCCAAAATCTCCAAAACCTGGGGAAACACAACAACCTGATGATATCTTGGGTGCCAGGGCACAGGGGAATTTTGGGTAACGAGAAAGCAGACAGACTGGCGAGAGGAGGATCTGCAAGACCATACATAGCCCTGAACCTATTCTTGGGATAACAAGGACAAATATAGAATCCTCCATCGCAGAATGGATCCAAGCAAAACAAAAGGAGAAGTGGATAAACTCTAGCGGTGCTAGACATAGTAAACTTAAGATGAAACAACCCTCACCGAGACTGGCAAAAGCACTGCTGCAATTGGAGAGGACCAAACTCAGAGATAAGATTACTAACCGGTCACTGGCATCTGAGAAAACATCTACCCAACATGGGTATATACAGCGATGGTCCCATTTGCAGATTATGTAATGAGGAGGAGGAAACAGCCACTTATATCATTTTCGAATACGAAGCAACAACTCAATGGAGGTTTAACCTAACGTACGGAAAAAACTTAGGGAATCAAATTGCAGCAGCAACAGTCAATGACCTGATACTTCTAAGAAGAATGATTGAGTCTATTGTCCTTTTCTACCATACCATACCATAGATCTAATTAGTTATTCAATCGTGGATGTAAAACAATGTAAAAATGCTCTACGCTTTTTTATCGACTTTTCCACGACTTTTGACTTTGTAGATAGGCAGTCTATTTTTTTTTAAATCTCCATAATCTGGGTATGTTCCATAAAGATTGTCCGTCCTATTAAGGCTCTACTAACAGGAACTTAGGATATATTTGGTCTAAGGAGCGTTCAGTATAAATGTGGGGGTGAAATAAGTCCTCTGCTCTTCTCTTTATTTTTGATGACATTGAAGATTGTCTAGATGTTGGAGGGATGTGCATCGGCTCTAATGGAATAAAACTCTTGCCTATGCAGCTTCTTACCACCGAGCTAAGTCCTCTGCAGAGAATGATTAATTCCCTTCATTTATACCGCATTACGGAACTGGACTGTTACGAGAAGAAGGAAGTTTGAACTTGACGCTTCTTTTACGATCAATGATCTTTCGTTTCCGTGTGTTAAAAAAGTAAAGTTCTTAGGGCTATGGTTGGATTGGAAGTTACAATGGAAATCCCATATAAATTATACCATCGAGAAAGCTAACAAGTATTTAAACATTCTTCGTGCAGTAACAAGTAAGAAATGGGGCGCAGATCCTTCCTCAGCCCTATTATTCTACAAAGCAACTATTCGCTCGGTCATCGATTATGGTTCCATTTTTTATGGCATAGCAGCCCCTGGTGTATTGAAACGACTAGACTCGATACAAAATAAAGCCATTAGAATTTGCTTAGGGGCGCTAAACTCTACCCCAGTCGATGTCCTGCACAGGGAAGCTAATGAACCCCCGCTATCAATCAGGAGACAATGGCTAGCAGATAAATATGTCCTCAAAACCTATTCCTTACACCACCAACTCTACCAAAAAATCCACAATTTGATGATCGAAGTCCTAACATCCCCTTATTGGATTAAAAAAAAGCCCCAATTATTAGCACCTTAGGGTGGGAATGCCCCAGGTTATTCCAATCAATTCAAGTGAATAAATATCTACCCTTATTCAATCTTGAATTCTTCTCAACAATGCAAAGATCCCGGTTAATTATTCTACCAGATTTCTCCAAATTCCCGCCCAATGAAGTAAACCAAAGATTCCGCGAACTCATCCACAAAAAGTGGCCCAACGCGACTCCCATATTCACAGACGGTTCTAAAATGGTGGAAAATCGGGTGGGGCATACTATGACTCTCTCAATAATAAACATGCATCGTACCGAAATGTATGCAATTCTGTTGGCTCTCGAATACGCGGAATATATTGAACACAATCAGGTATTAATTTGTTCGGATTGTAGGAGTGCCTTGTCCAGCGTCACGACCCCAAATCTTACCAAATCATATGGTACAGAATTGACCGTTAAAATTATAAATAAAATAAATGATCTCCGGTATAAAGGAAAGCAAATTCTATTCTTATGGGTAAGAGGCCACTGTTCATTAAAAGGAAATGAGAAAGCCGACGATTTGGCCAAGTCAGCTACCAAAAAATCAGAGATAGAAAAAGTGATGAAAATATCCCATTACGATGCCATCAATGTTATCAAAAGTAGACCGATTGCACAGTGGCAGAATAGATATAAATCATCAAGCACTGGACAATGGTATAAATCCATCTTTCCGAAAGTCGGATGCGTTCCTTGGTTCACCAAAGAAACGTTTGAAAGGTAAGCCATTGTTAAAATAGGCAGACTACGGTCAAACCACTGCATCTGTAATGCATACTTAGACATGATAGGAAAGAAAGACTGATCTGTATACCGTATGCAACCTAATAGATAATGCGGAACATATAGTATGGCATTGCAAAAAATATGATGAAGAAAGGAAGACTATGTTCGGTGAGATAGACCAGTGCGAAATAGCAAAACCTTATAATTATAAATTCTTAATATGTACAGAAGACTTCGATGTTTATCCCTGGTCCTGGTCGATTTTGTCAAACGAACTCGTTGCAGCTTATAAATAATTTATATTATAATTTATTAATTTATAATAATATAATAATAATAACAAACATGGCTGAAGACAAAAGGTCAATGCAAAAAAAAAATAAATAAATAAATAAAAAAAAAAAAATAATAATAATAAAATAAACAAATCTAAAATCGCGGTGTTCTGAAATGGGAATAGTCTTCAGATATCCCTCGTTTTTGCTAACCGCTAATTTATTCTTTTGCCTCATTCAAAATTTCTTATTTGACCCATAAACTCGAAAAATTTCAGTATTTATTAAATTGTTCAATTCTTGAAAATGAATCGAATTCAAATATTTAACGATAAAATGTCTTCCTTCATTAAGTAGTGACAATAAATTCCACTTTTTATTTATATTTTAAAAATTATTCAGAAATCGTGAGATGCGGTCTGGTGTGATGCAGGTATCAGAAAAACATTTTCTTTATCGTGCCAACGTTTCGATCGTTATTGAGATCATCTTCAGGGCCTGGGATTTACAAACATTGTTTACATTTAACAAATACATTTAAGATGTGGAAAAGTGAATTTATACAATGCAAAAATATTAAAAAAATATAAAATTATTAAAATATATTTTAAAGTTAAAGAATAACGCAGGAAAAAGTTAACGATGAAATACTTTAATATAAAAAATATATAATCTAAAGACAATAATGTATAATTTAAAACAGGTTTTTCCAGAAATAAAACTTATGGTTATGACACAGAAAAAGTCTTTTATTTGCTTACCTTCCACAATTAGTCTAATAAAAATAAAACAGATCCCTAATAAAAAAATAAGGATAAAAAACTAAAAGAAGATAAAATCATTTTCATAAAATCCTTAATCATGGTTTTGAAATTTTCTTCTTTTTGGTTTCACTACTCTTGACTTGTTAAACAAAGCTATACAAAAAAAGTCTCGCGTTTTCTACTACAAGAAGACTAATAATTTAAACAATTGCTATTATAAAAGGGCATTTAATTTTTAGAATTTTGAAATTTTGCTTTCTTTTAATTTACGTTTATAAATGCAATAGTAAAAACATCGGTTTCAAACGTTTTGAACAGAAAAGCTCGTTGAACATATTTCTCTAGGTAATTTTTCACCTGTAGCCCATAATTTTTTTACATACATATGTTTTCAATTTGTTTTAATATTAACCTAGCATTATTAGTAAAAAGTTTTACTGCTGTTTATTCCATTTAAATAATTATGAAAACTCAATTTTATATGAGCAGAATTTCGTCTTGAAAACACATAACCATTATTAACAGTAAGTAAATATAAGTTTATAGATTACTTTGAACTATTTAAAACGAAATTTGCCCCAGAATCTCTTAAATTTATAACTTTATTGCTTTCTTTGATACTGATTTTCTATCGTTTACTTTTTTCTGTCTTAATCCGGTGTTGATTTGGATTATTATGGCGTTTTGACCAATAATGTTTTGTTTTTTTGAAATGAAATTAATTAGAAAAATAAAATATAAAAATGTTTTACTTTTGTTTATTAATATTTTTACACCTGATCAAGCATTAAAAAATATCGAATGTCATTTCCCATTTATGGAGTTTTGTTGTATGACTTTCATTTTCTGATTCCAATCATTTGACCTAGACTTTCTCCGAATTATTTTTTATGAAAAAGCCCCGAATTTTTTAAAAGCAGAAAGTTGCGCAGATTTAAACACAGAGTTAGAAAGGTGTTAGGAGCATGTCGACGGTAGAAAATAATAAGAAAGAGACGACCAACAGGCCGAGGAGTGTTTATACAGCTCATACTATTCCACCCATAGATGATCCTACGTACACGCATCAGGTAAAGCAGATAAAAATAAAATAAATAAAAAATGTAAACTTTGACAAAAAAAATTTTTTGAAATTTTAAAAGATGTTCGATATTCCACCGAGCGAAGGCACCGGTTGGTCTTCATCGATGTTCGGAAGCGCAGGAAGCATCTACAATTCGGCATCTTTGGCGGCACCCATTTGGAGACACCCGAGGGCAAGTAAGCTGTATCCCTACTTCCCCCCTGATGACCCACTATTGTTCCCTGTAAGTATATTGTCAGCGGTCCTTTTTTTTTATAATTTAAAAAAAAAATTAAAAATTACAGTTTGAAAACGACCCGACGGAAGGAATACCTGGAACGGCACTGGCCACTCCGCATGGCACCATCTCCCTCAGACTCAACCACAAAATGAGGGTCGATTTGACCATCGACAGGGCCGTTAGAGTAATTAACTTTAAAGTAAGCAAACAAAAATTGTCATAACTTAAGTAATTATTTTTTAAAAAAAGACGGTCGAGTTTTTATTTAAGTCTTATACAACTTTCTCTTTGTCTATAGAAAGTCGATATTGTACAGCTTATGTAAAACTTAATAACTTAGGGGAATTTGAAGCTTTTTATCACTGGAATGGATACTTTATATTTCGTAATTTCACTGGCCGTCCCTTGATAAAAAAATTATATATTTACATCATCCAAAATTGATGGAAATAATATATTTTTAAAGTTTATATAGGATAACGTGCAAATTCAGCACAATTCCTCCCATATATATCATGGAAAAAAATCTATCCAGCGCGGTAAATATTCCATCGAATATCAGGGTCAAAACTTAACCATATCCTCGAGAAAAAAATTATTCCTGGCTTACTTTCATTTCCATGGGTAAACAACTGTTTTTTAACCATTTTTAAAGTGGCCGGAAAGTAAAAAATGTTGGTATGACTAAAGTGGCAGAACAATCCCAGTTTTAATAGGGAAAGTCATCTGTAATTCTTCTCGACCTTCATATTATCCAAACTTACAGATCTCAACAAGATGTAAAAAAAAAATCTACTTCCTGGCTAAGAATAAATGATTTTGACCAGTATACCAGGGATGAAGGAATTCATCGTAGCATCGTAGAAACAATAAATAAACTTGTTACACTGGAAGGGGTTGGCAAAATTTACTTACAATAGGCAACAAATCTTTTAAACCCTAATATTTATTAGATATTCTTGGTCATATAATCGATTATTTATGTTTATATATATAAATATATATATATAAATTTTTTATGTATCAAGAACCCTTTTCTTTAAAAACCTTATACAAAACTAAAGAAAAAATATAACAATACAATAACTCAACATTAGTAAAAAAATAAAACACTATACTACACATCAATGAAAACAACAATAAAAACTTATAAATAAAACAACATAAAGATTTAATTAAACACCCTGTCTATATAATTATAATGACTAGGAATTATCATAAAAATAAAAAATAAAGCATTACAACTACACACAAAGTAAATTTTTAGCTTTTTAACTAAATAAAATTATTACGCTTTAAGAAACTGATGTTTTAATGAGAAACGTAATTATTAAATAAATCAACAGTATTGCATATGTTGTTACATTCTATCATCATGCGATACATCTGCGAGTAGTGAAAAATTTGTTCCTTTATATTTAATAAAAAATATTTTCTGATTTCTGAGGTGGCGGCAAGAATGTACATAAAATTGAAGTTTACCAAAGATTTCTGGGGAATTTATACAATTTTTAATTAATTTGAAAATATGTGAGGATAGTTTTAAAAAAAACTTTCTTCTGCGATGAAAAATATTGAAGTAAGATTAATAGGAGCATGAGAGGATTTATCATTGTGACAGTTTAATTTAAAATAAAACATACGAAGGAATTTATTTTGAACAGTTTGAAGAAGTTTTATATCAGTGTAGTAGTGAGGATTCCTGATGATTGAGGCATATTCAAGAATAGGTCGAACAAGTGAATTATATAGATGGACATAGCAAGAAGGATTAGCTTTAATTTAGTTAATTTAGCATTTAGCTGCAATTCAGCTGCTGTAGCTGTTGAAGTATTTCCATAATTTTGCTGATTTTTTGAGTATCAAAACATCAGAATCAAAACTACACCATAACCTGAGAAAACAATGTAAAAATATTTTCAGCAGTTTTATCATGAACAATCCTATTATCAATAACAATATTGTAATGAGCATGTATCAATATTGGAGCAATACTTGTTAGTCTAGTTTTCTAATTAAAATAAGTAAATACTTCACAGAATAATATTGTGATTGCAATGAATGCTACTGGCTCTGCATGCGCTTTACTTCATCCGAATGGAAGAGTCCACCAGTATGGAAGCAGAGTTGAAATAATGGCACACGATGCTCGAGGAAACCATAAGTAAGACCTTTAAACTTTTTTTTATTTTTTGTTTTAATATATTTTCTATCAATGAGCTTATGTTGAAGGTTTGCAAAAATGTGGTATAAAGGAGTAAGTTTCACGTCAGACAATTGCGCCCTTGTGTATCTAGTCGACTCAGCAGGCACCCGAACGACTACGGACAACTTTTCTGATTTGACCCAAGACTTCTCGCTTGCAGTCTACTACAGTGAGTCCCGGCATGGCCCAGCCTATATCGGCGATGCTGTTACCATGATCCAGTCTGCCCAGTACTGGGTCACCGACGAAGGTGTCGAAAACTGGATCGTCAACAATGTCAGGATATCTCAAGCACCAGACGGATTAGTCAGGTAGAAAAATATGTTGGCTTTTTTTAAAAAGATGAAGTGCCATTTAGTTGGCTGCTCGTGTTATTATAAATGCACATTTGTATCTCCAGATTAGCAGAGAATAATTGAAAACATGCAAAAATTGGATTTGAACAGTAACAGTACTGACAACATTTATTATATACAATGTAGGGCTTTATCTATTGAATATTTTATTATATAATTTCACAATTTTGATCCAAAATTTTAGGCTTATAGAAATGTTTCAAACTTTCTTAAAAAATTGTTGATATTTTTCTATATTCATCTTCTCAAATGTATGAAACAAAACCATATAGTCACTTACATTATCAGAATACTACATATGTACTAAAAGTGAATCATGGTAGCCGAATTGTTACCATGATAGACTCTCGGCTGTAGACCCCTGCGGTCATGGGTTTGATTCCCGCAGTTGCCATGGCCTTTTTCATGTAACCCTTTCTCCCATTTAAAAACTTAAAAAAACAACTTTAAAAACACATAAAAATAAATTTATTGTAGGGCATTAATTTCAAATCACTCTAACATTGCTATCAATGAAGTAACATAGACATCAATCTTCATAAAAGTTGGAGCGAATGCACAAAACATTATTATAAAAAGCACAATACAAAATATTATTAGCTTCCATTATTAATTTTTTATACATACTTGTCTGTAATTAATGATTTTTAATATTTTTTTAGGGTTGCAAGAAACAGTAACAAATACCATCTGAGGACTTCAGCAACTAATGGGACTGCATCAATGACAACACCATTTTTGCACTGCACTGCTTCAATGGGTACGACATCGCATCTTTTTGTCCGCCGAGGAGAGAGAAGAATGCACTTTGATGGGTCGAGCTTTATTGTGAGGAATGCTGGGCACTCGGCCGGCTTCGACGAAAAAACACAACTTAAAGTATTTTGAGAGAAAGAGGCCAGAAAACACGATGCTTCAACGGATTTCCATAAATATCAGAATAATTTGTTATTTTTTATCACCAAAGTTTACATCTTGTCGGGACGCTTATTATAGTTTTGTATGTCCAGCACTCTGCAAAGCGTAATGTGGGCTCTACAGTGGAAATAAATAATAGCGTATTAATGAGGAAAAAATGAAAAGCAATTTTAATGTAGTTATTGGAATAAGGTTTAAATTTATGTCTTACAACACAAGACAAAAAATTAATTTGTTCAAAAATAAATTATTGTGAGTACAAATTTTCAAAGTAATATCCGACTTAAGATTTTTTGTTCATTGTACCAGATCTCATTTAACTTTAAGATATTTGATATTTCAATGTGTAACAACATTTCCTTTAAAAAGGCTAAAAAATTATTGGTAAAATTCATAGTATACCATTTTAAAACTGAAATATCACAAATGTACATGGTGTTTGTTTTTAAGACTAAAATGCACGGTTTTTTGCAGTAATTTTTATTTTGAAATTGTAAAGAGACATATTTACATTTTGCCTAAACTATTTTTATAAATTATGATTGGTTTAAAAAAAATTCTATCAAATACCTTTCAACTTCTGTGGGTTTGAAAGCCTTTCAATTATAATGTGCAACATTCATTAATTTTTTTATTACATGTTTTTAACTAATAACAATTTTACTACAAAATTCATCCAGGTTTCTATGGGCATATTCTAACTTGACTTCATTAAACATTTCATGATTTATTGAATATACTTTCATTTCTTTAATTCACCAACTGATGGTCTTGATGGAGGTTCCATTTTATACATACCACCAAGGACCAGGACAATTTTTTTTGTCTATCACCCCTCCCAAAAAATTCACTACGGCAACAAGTGCGCAAAATAAAATTTAAATATAATAATTACAAAAACGTTTTTTTACATGAAAATTTTCAGACTTCAGACAGAGCGTGGACATTATTTTATTTGTTCTTTCCTTCAATTAAAAATTATATTAAACAAACAATATAATAGAAAAATAGATGTAATAATTAAATGTGTAGGCATTAAATTATTGGCCCGGAGGACCAAAGTATGTTGGAGACCACTGATAGTCACACTTAATAAATAAAAGTTAAAAAGAGTTAATAAACTGTTCACCTTTGATGTGTCCACATTGAAACTTGCCCTTTCTCGTTGTCACAGTTGGAACTGGGACTGCTTCTAAGTTAAAATCCACCCTATACCTTGGCCAAGGGAGAAAATGGAAAGTTAACCATGCTTGGCAGTCCCGGCACCCAGACTCTTGGATACGATTTTAATTATGTTTTCAAGGGACAAAGCTTCCTGGGTAGGAGGATAGGAAAGGAGACAATTTTATGGAGAGTGGGTGTATTTTGATAGGAGTTAATTTGAAAACAGGTAGGAAGCAAAGAGGGAACCAATTTGGAGGTAGTAGAACAGCAAAGAGTTTATTCTGAAAACAACATTTTTAGACAATCAGAACTGGTTGGAGGCGAGGGTAATTTTTACCGTTGTCAGGCTTAGTGCCAGTTTTCAGATATTGGGGCTAGAGGATTATTTCAAAAATTGAGTTGTAACTTAAGCATCAGCACAACTTAGTAAAAGTGCAAAATTAAGTCTTGTTGAATTTGTTTTCTGATTCAGAGCTTTAATTTGAAAGCCACTTCAACTATAATAAAACATTTCATCTTAGCCAAAATTTTAATAAATAGTTGTTAAATTTGTTAATGTTGGTTTAATTTTTCTCTATATTGCTGACAGGGTATAAAATCAGTTAATATGGAGAGGAAAATTAGGGGAAAGAAGAAAAGTACTCCTTTAAAGTGTAAATGTAAGTGTATGTGTTTTAAACTAATTAAAAAGTAACTTCTGTTGAATAAACGCCACGTTTTCTTTTTTGTTTTACCTTTTGAGAACAAATGCTCCACTGTATTCAGTTAAAATACCACAACAATCTATATAGTTTATACGACATTTTATTTTATGTCAAACATATGCTTTAAAAATATAACATCATTTATTCTTTAATTTTCCGTTGCAATTTAAAGAAGAAAAAATCTATGATTTTAACTGTTTTCTTTAGAATCTTGGTAATTTTGTCATATCTTTTGAACTTTTTTTTTACAATACTCATTAGACGTAAAGCGAAATGAAATATTGACATGGATTAACTATGATATATAAAACACTGTAAACTGGAATTCCTGGAGGACTTTTCCAGCAGCCCAAGCCAGTAGTGAATAAAGTTTTAACTACACAAAAGAGGAAGCCATCTAAGCATCTAGAAAAGCAGTGGTGGCAATCAGCATATTAAGAAAAATGGCAAAAGGAGACAGAACAGACTCAAAAAGGGAAAATGTATGCAAACATCCAACTGAAAATGGTGGTCCAAATTGGTGGACCAAGAAAATTTCTGTCTATTAACAGACTTCACCTGGGCCACAACAGTTTGCCTTTATCCATATGAGATCAGAATTCAAGATAGTATGGTGTGCCATTATCCCATGGTTGCTCTTAATCCTGAAAAGGAACATGTGGATCTTTTTTGTCCGCAAGTAGCTCGTGGCCTTATCAGACATTTTGTTTCTCAAGGTTTGAGGCGACCTGTGCTTACAAGGTGTAGAAGACACCCTAATCCATAAGGAACAAGACAATCTTCGTCCCCACTTGCCTGCCCCTTCTGAGGGGGAGAGTCATCTTGTGCACTTTGTCCGGCATTCCAGTCATGCTCCGTAGGTAGAGAAGGCAAATCTGTCTTCCCAGTTGGAGTGGAGGGGCCCTTCCAGCTTCTGGACCTCCAGATATGTTCCAACCACAATTTTAAATGTAATTGCTAACCGCCCCTCAGAGGAAGTTTGTCTTCGGTAGAGGAAGCTGGTCACAGCACCACCGCACCAGCAGGGTCTAAGTACCCATCGGGGGCCTGACCACTAAGCCATTTCAAGTCCTTAATCACGTAATGCATACCTGGGCTTATAACGTTGTGTACGCCCATACTCATAGTTCAGTCAATCATGCACCCTCCCCTGTCTTTGCAGACAGGATCTGGCATGCTGACCCATCTATGTTTCTGATCGCACACCTGCTGTCCACCCTGCTGACTTAAAGCCAACACACGAATCTAGCTTGTGCTTTAAGCAGCCCATAGACGATCAATATTATTGCACAATATTTTGGGTTGTGCAATTTAATTGATCAAGTGTAGACGATATTGAAAGTTTGGGCAATACATTGCATGATTGACAAAAAGTTGAAAATATATTGTGCAACCTGGAAAATATTGCACTGTCTGTTGGCATTATTGCGCAATATCAGTCAGTTTGTGAAGTATCAACAAGTGGAAAATATTGCACAAACTTCAATATCGCCTTCAAACTATTCAAGTTCATTGCACAAACAAAATTTTGTACAATATTATTGAACGTTAAGGGGCAACCGTCAAATTATTGTGCAATCTATATTGTAATAATATTGACTGTCTATGGGCCGCTAAGAGTTTGCCTCACTTTCAAGGCATTAGTTTTTGCCTGGAAACCCCTTTTGTAACCAAGGGTTAGGAGAGGTCTTAACAAAAAATGCCATAGCACAAGGATTGAGAAAGGAGTGCCCGAGAACACACGGCTTACCTTTTCAGGTTGCACCACAGAAATGATGGGGTATGGTTCCTCTGGGTTCATGAGAGAGGTGAGAATGATCTCTAAAGCGTCGAACGAATCAACTGCCTATTCAGACCCCCCCTCACCTAGAGGGATAATTCCGAGATTGTGAGCCCACATTTTCAGGCCGTACAACACATTTTGGATTACAACTGATCATTCTCAGGTACCCTTTTTCACATGATATTCAGAAAAGTGTGTGTGACAGGGTAACTGTGAAAGATCAAGACCCTGTTCTTTTATCCTGTCCCAGACTATAAAAAATCCTGTATTCCACTGTTGTGAAAATTGGCCTTTCCTTGTCTACCAAAAACAGTATAATTATAAAATATATTAACATCCCACAATCTGTCAGGTGGCATGCCCTCTGCGAGGCTGGGTCCGACCATTGGTGGTGCTTTGTACCCAGATAGTGGGGGATGGACTTTTCCATATGATTTGTTTATGATTATAAACTTATACCTATTTATTAATGAGAATAAAATTCATGCAGTGATGGAAAATATTCTGATACGTATAAATGGGCTTTTTTTTCTAAAGAATTACCACCCAGGTGATTAATTTTTCTTGTTGTAAACCCCCATTCAAAAATAAATAAACAATTAATATTAAATAAAATGCAAAATATTTACTTTTTTAAATAATTGAATATAAATATGAACAAGAAGAAGAAAGAGGATTTTTGAAGGATTAAAAGAAAATACATTAATTTAATAGTGTCAGATGTTTATTTTCATTTTTTCATATTATTTTTAAAATTTCTCGATTTAATTTTATTAGGTCAAACAATACAGTCACAAAATGTCCCCTTGTTTTCTATACATGGCTCCAGGATCACAGAAGGGCTTTCCCAATGTTCAAATGACAAAGAAAAAAAATCTCACATTTTTTTAAAAGTTGGATTTTAGAACAATTTAAAAACTAAGGAATTAAGCACTAACATCAACAAGAAAAAAGATAACAAACAAGAAATAAGTACAAAAGCAATCACAAAAATAAAATTTAAGGTACTTTGTCATAAGGTACTGTTTGTGCATTTATGAAGGGGCGATAAACAAAGAACAAAAACCAAAAGAAGATGACTTCTTTAAAATTTCTTTTGTAACATTTTCTTTTTTGCCACAAAGAACAAAACACTTGTTTTTTTAAATTATTATTATTATTATTACAGATTTTCCCATATTTCTCTTATATTTACACAACTAACAAATACAATATCACATTAAATTAATTTTTAAAATTATTAAAAATTACAATTTGTTAAAAACTTAAAATTACCTTGAGTATTCAAAAAATATATGTTCATTTCTTTCAATTGTATAAAACAGTTGGAAAAAAGAAAACTGATAAAATTATCGTATAAATGAAAAGGGATTAATGGGGATGTGATGCTTTTTTTGTTTTCTTTTCACAATGTTCTTCTTGAAAATGCCCAACTAAATTGCTAAATAAAATTAATATTAACCGCCTTTTTTTGTTGCATTAATGATGGTTGTAATAAATTTAAAAATAATATACTTAAAATTTTGCAATATATTTGAATGTAAAAACATAAACACGTAAAACTTTTCAGAAAAGATGATTACTTTTCAATATTTGTCAATTTTAAAAATTGTCCTGCTGACAATTCAATCATTTAAGGTTTGTAGGGCAATTTTTCAAAAAGATGAGGGTGTCAGAAAAAAATAAAATAAATCACGAGTTTCTTTAGTTAAAAATAAGAACTTCAGTCTAAAAATAGTTGTGAAACAAAATATACATAAGCAGAACAAAAAAAAATTTTTTTTTCAAGGAAAAAAAGAAAATTTAAAAAAGGAAATTTGAGATCTTTGCCGTTCTTTACAACATTTAGTGATTTTTCCTCTTTTATTTTTTTCTTTTTGCCACTAGTTCCCTATTGCAGGGGAGGGGGGAGAAGCTGTTAATTTTAGAAAAAATATTTTTAAAAGATGAGGGAGGAAGTAGTACCAGCAATCAAGCTTTCATTTTTTTTTTTTTTTTTTTGTATTTTACATATATAATTGTATTATTATTATTATTATTTTTGACTAGAATCATAACAACAATGGCACAGTTGCGCATTTTTAGGAAGATTTGAAATTACAAATAAATTCAAATCATAATACACTGTTTCTCATCTCTCGCGCTCACTTCTTCTTTTCCTTGTTTTAATATTTAATTAGTAGTAGTATTTTTATTGGCGGTTTCTTTCAGTTATACTTTTCGTAAGCATAAAATATGTAAAAATAATAATTTGAAAACAAATAGCATGAAAGATCAAATTTAAACAAAACAAAAATTAACCAGTCTCAAGTATACGAAGATTATGAAAATTAATTTTTCAAAAATAAAAATAAAAAAAGAAAGAAAAATAATTTAGTGCGTTTCTTTGTGTAGTGGGAAAGAAAATTAAAAATCAAACAAAATATAGATAATCCTGGCAACATTTGGCCTTGGTTAAATATTCACTTTTTGAGAACTTTCTCTGAACTGAAGTGTATTTTAGATGAAAGAAAAATCACTGCACACCTTTCTTCCTGAAAAATAAAAACAAATCTAAAATTACTGAAGCTAACTAATCTAAATTGTTTCAGAAATAAAATGTGTGCGATAAAACTATAGTTTAAAAAGAATATATTAGTATATTATAGTGTTTTTCTAGTATAGAAGAGAAACATTATTACCCTTTGTGTATTTGTTAGTAAACGGAGGGATGGGTCAAGGAGAAAGAACTATGCTTCTGTAGTGAGATGGCCCTGCTTAGGCGTATAGACTGTCGCATTTGGATCCAGGTTAGATGCGGAAGAAGCCATGATCGAAGATTGTGCAGGCATGGTACTGTTCTGTGAGACTACCAAGCCTCTTAGCTTGGTACCGCCACCCATGATGCTCCTGCTCCCCACTGCAGAAGGGGCATGGACAAGGAAATCTGCTGTAGGCATCACTGCAAGCACCTGTGCCATTTTCGATTTCAGTTCTTCTATCTCTCTCTCCTGACTTCTTATCAGACCTAAAATCGATAAAAAATTAATTGATTTCATTCACACTCGAATGTTTAATATGGTTATTACTGTCTTTTATCTCCAAGTGTCTCTTGGCTTCGCCCAAAGCAGAAAAAAGGTCCAGCTTTATTCTTGTCTCTGCACTTAGAGAATTCTCAAGATGCAAATTTTTATCTTGCAGCACCGAAACAGCGTTCAATAGCACATCAGCTCCAGTCTGACTTTCTTTGTACTGCAAAAGACTCTGCAAACAAAAATATATAAAGTTAAGCTCGTTCGAATAGAATCAGACATTTTTATGCTATAGATATATTTTTACGTACTTTTAGCTCACGATCTGCACTTGCACAGATTTCCTCTTTGAGCTTGAGATCCCTTCGTATAGACTTGACTTCGCCTTCAAGGTCCCTCCGCCTCTGTCGACATGCCTCGGAAGAACATTCACGCTGAGCGTCACGCTTTGCCTTCCTGTCCTGTGCAAGTTGTGACTCAGCTGTGCAACGTAGCCTCCGCTCTTCCGCCAGCCTCTTTTCAAGGGACACGATATTCTGTCGTTCATTCGCTCTCGTAGACACCATGTTTTGCAACCTGGAATATTGTTTGTTAAAAGTTAATTTATTTTAAAAAGTATGGTGATTCACAAATTTACTTTGACTCCAATTCCTCGTTGTGGTGCCTTAGTGTGAGAACTTCCGCACGAGCAGCTTTTTCCGCTGAATATGTGCTGCTCAGCTGAGATTTGAGATCTGACTCATTCTGTTTGCTCGACTGAAGTTCCCCTTTTAGGCGTTTCACTTCAGACTCTAACCTAAATTCAAATGCCTTACATTAGTAATAAAAAAAAAACATTTACTACTGGGTAAAAAAAGTCTTATATTTATTTACAAATTTACAATTTATCTAAATATGTTTTTGGCTAATTTTAATATCTTAATTCCTGTGCTACTTGGGAAACAGAGAACTTATTGAGGTTTCCTCCATATAACTGGGCACTTATAATTAGCTACATAATATATGCCAAAACAAATAACCTGGCATAACTACTATAATATGATAGCTTCATTTAAATTAAACTTAATAAGTAAGGTGCCTGAGCCGGAAACAAGGAATCGTCCTTACGTGATTAAGAATAGGCCATAGCGGTTGACACACCACACAGGCATCTGCTCTTAGGCCAAAGCCCGCGGAAGTGCCCCTTATGCAGAGAAAGGTTGCTCGATGTGTCCCACATACTGGAAACATGTCATGCCTTGGCTCCCTACAGGGAGCGTGTAGGCATGCCATCAAATCTGAAGATAGTACTCGAGCAATGCAGCGAGTTTCAGAGTCCTCTGTTCCGCTTTTTAGGGGAAATTGTTTTTTTTTATTGTATATAATGTCTTATGTGTTGTGTGTCTATATGTTTTGTCTGAGTGCATGTATTTATTAGCATGAATGGCGAGGGGTGAGGGTGAAATATAACGTCATCATCGCCCCTCGAACGTTGAGAGCGAATGAGTGTGTGTTCGGGGTCGATGGTGGAATATTTATAAAAGTACTCCACCGACCAAACGGAATGAGTGTATTGATAGATGTATTTATGTGTATGAATGTGTAAGCCGGTCCCCGTCTTAGCGATAAGTTTAAATTGTTAAAATAAGAACAAATAGGGTAAACGTTGAAAAGGGACAAAGGTTGTACTCTGAAGGGGCGACCACCCAGACGGGAACGACGTAACACATCTGGCAAATGTAGCCTGGAAATGGTTACCCAGGTAGACAGTTAGGTAAGAACGTCAAAGTGTGGGGCAGACCCAGGCTGGACCCACGTTTTGTTTCCCACGAACCTGGAGAAAATAAAATAGCAATAGAGACAGACCACCGTCTTTGCCGGCCCACCCGCGGCGTGAGAACTCCCCCGACTTTTGAGTTTCCTTTCCACCCCTACTCCGGGAGAGACTCGGTATAAAAGGGACGACTGGAAAATCAAAAGTCAGTCAAGATACAAGACTCACCCCAGTCAACGACCTAGCCGAGACTCACCCCAGGCAGTCAAGACCAAGGACCGGGAGAGAAGCAGCCACACTCCGTCTGGGATTCAACAAGAGGACTCAGCCAGCCAGGGCTAGCGAGGATCAGCCGTTGCGACCAATCGAGCCAAGTCAGAGGTCGAGAGAAGAGATGCTGTGGAAACTGATCGTGGCGAGCATCGTTTGGGGTAAGTCCCTTTGTTGATAGACTCATCCCAGGTTTAGAGTTGTGGCTGACTTGTAGATTAATTAAGATTCTGAGGTTTGGGTACCGTTAAGAGAAGGAATTGTGTACAATAAATGTTACTGAATATGCTCTCTATTTTATCGAATTCTGGAACCTTACCTTCCCCTACACAAGAATAAGTAGCGACGCGCTAACGCCGACTAATCTCTTGTCGCTTATAGAAAAGCAAGCGAAATTCGAGAGATAATTCGGCCGCCGCGCCGTCATCCGCTTACAAATGTATTTATTTGTATGAATGTGGTGTTTGAAAGTGTAAATAGAATGTAGACTTAGTTGGGGACTGAAATGACTTTTTTTTTTACTAGATGTCGGAAGCCCCAGTCAAAAAAAAAAGGCGGTTCTTGACTCCAAGTTAAACTAATATTACAAGATTGTTAACTAAATTTGGCAACGAAGCAAACAGCATAAACATTGCCCAATTGATTGAACTAAAGGTTGTAGCTCAGATAAGATAACAAGACTTATTATTACTTGCTATAAAAAAGTCTTTTTAAATAGGACAAATGTTGTAAAATCTGCCTCTCTGCCCACAATGGTGATATATCGCACTTTTTATTTTACTACGAGGCTTTGGAACAAAACAGATCAATATATACTATTATGGATTTGTAAATTATTAAATAAGAACATTTACTTAAGACAATATTCATCTTTATGTGGTGTGTCGTTTTCTTTCGGAGGTGCTGATCCTTTGCTTCCTTTCGAATTGCCTTTTCCACCTTTCCCACCTCCTTTACTGGTCGTGTTATTGCTCATTTGCGAGCTCGACGTTTGTGACTGATTGACATTCTCTTCGTCTGTAACCGGGGGTGCTGAGCTGCCAGAGTCTCTACTCCTGAAGCAAAGCATTTTGAGGCCCCCTCCGCCAGAATTGCTCTGTTTGTTTGACCCTCGGCAAGACCCATTTGTCCTTTTTGAAATAAAAGAGTTTTAGAAAAATACTTTCATATAGGACTAAATAATTATATATACTTGATTTTTTCTGTGTATTCGACATTGTGTGTTATAGAACCGTTTGTGTATGGCTCAGCAGCTCCTTTGTCAAGAGATTTTCTGTGTGAAGATTTACTCCCACAGTTTTGGGAAGTTGACATCCCATGGTGACCGACACCATTACTTTCAGCACCTAGACAAGTTTATAAAAGTGGTAAGTGAATATAGTAGTAAATTAATTAATAAAACCAAACCTTTTGTTTTTTCAGGTGGTGTTCCCTGTTGTGAGGAAGACGTGCCTTCTACAGGCAATGCTTGTTGAAGGAGATTCATATAGAAACTGTTCTCCTTTCTAACATCTCTTTGTCTCCGCTATTTTTAAAATTTCATATTGTACAAAAAAATTGTTGGTACAATCCAATAAAAAATAAACAATAATAAAACAACCATACCTGTCTGATTCTAAAGCTTACATAGCTTTTAAAGCCAAACCCCAATGTTACAACTGGGTAGCCAATACTGAAATTCACATAGTTAAACATTGCATTTTAATTAATTAATTTTTGTTGTTTTGTAAAATAGTACATTACCAGTGTGCAGCGAATGGCCTACACAGATCGAGGTGAAATGGCATATGCCGAAGGTCTTTGAGGCGAACTGCAGCCTCCATGTAAGCAAATAACAGCCACAGCATTACTGTTGGTAGGCATATGCCTTTTTCTAAAAATAAGACTTTGTAGTAAAAAAAAACTTAAAAATTTTACATTCATGTTGTTTCAAAATTACCAGTATGCCAAACATACTGAACCCAGACATATGTGCTCGCTGCAAAGAAGAGCCACTGGACTGGGATAAAAAAGTAACAGATCATATCTGAAGTGACTGCAATCGACATAAAGAAGACTGAAAATGCCTGAGAAAATAAATAATAATCAGTTTACATCCTAATAGCAAAATAAGCTTTAAAAAATCAACTTTACCAATCCTTGATATTTGTACGAGTCGTGAACGCTGCGTACAAGGAGCCAGAAAGGCCAAAGGAACTCGAAACGGAACTCAAGGAGGAAGTCTGCTAGTAGGACAAAAGCCCATAATAGGAAAAACTTCAGGTACACAATAGTACTGCAAACAGAAAATGGTTCATTAGTATGGGCCATTTCTTGACGAGCACAAGAAATTCATCCACCATCTATGACAGAAATACATCAATTTCTACTAAAGCTGGTAATCTGGTTCTACTCGGAGCTAGTTAATTTAAAGGAAAGGGAAAATGTTTTCTATATTCCACTAGATAATCAAAGGGTTAAACTGTACCAAAGTATCTCAAGTAAATGTGAAAAGAAATATAACTCGGTGGCCGCAACGGTTTAGGCGCTAACATGGTGTTCATCACTGTAAAAGTCCCAGGTTCAAAGCCAGTGGCCCTGCATTCGAACCCGACATAAGTATGATAAATAGGCATTTTTTCAAAAACACCTACACCTCAATTTTCATAAAACCTCGTAGTTGAAAAACCCTCGTAAAAAAATAAAAGAAAAAGAAAAACATAACTTGCTTCATAAATATTTGACAATTCCACAATAAAACCAGTGAGATCAAAATATTAATTACTTATACAGATTCCATTGAGGAAACATAAAAATAAAAAATTAAATTGATGGAATAGAAAGTTAAAAACCATTGTAAATTAATGTTGGCTGTTATGAAAGAAGACTGTTAGTTTAGAATTGCAGGTATTTAGAAGGATATTAGAAAAAAATAACATTAGGTAGCTGTTTAAAGTATTAGATGTACCAACCACTTTTTTTATCCACGAATAATCTAGATCTAGTATGGTCTGGATGGAAAAACAAATTCGATTGTTAACTACCAAGCTTTCGTCCTATTTTAAGGTCATCATTAGGGCAAAACTATCTTAAAGAAGTCTACAAATTGACATGAAGTTTTAATAGATGGTTTTTAATTTCTTTGACTACTCAGTCCCAATATTGCCAAGGATTGGGTGTTTTCATCTATACTAAGATCCATAATATTCATAAATATTAAGTGCTAAGATTTAACTAAACATCCTTGGTTATTGGGTTAATGCAGATGAAAATAAAAACTATTATAGAACATCGCTTGATTTTTCAGTCTATAAAGAAATGGCTGGATTTAAGCCGTAATACGCACACAAAGGAATAAAATGTTCACAATTTGCTTGTTTAAAATTTTATTTAGTTTTAGAACAGTGTCACCTGAATTTAAAAGATTTGACTCAAAAGTCAAACCAATCTAAAACGAGTACCACAGCAAGTTACTAATTTTAACTTATTAAAAGAAGAATGAAAGAAAGAACAGTATCATACCATCTCTAGTACTGCTAACAACATATTTTATGAAAATAGTAAATTTTTAAGGCAATAAAATAATAAAATGTATAGGTGCAGCAATTTCTCTTCTTATTTTTCTTTTTATAAGTTCATGACTTGTAACTATTCTAGTTCAAATTAAAGAATCATGTTAGAGACTAAACATTGGTAAAGCTAACAAGAATATGTTAAGGAATTCAACAAGATTCTATTAGTATGTTTCAAACGTTATTATGACATAACATAAACATATATGACAACAAAACATAAACTTTTTTTTTTAATCGTATAACTTGAAGCAGAGTAAGCAGCTAGTTAGTCATGTCAAATCATCTTGGTCTATCATAATGATAAATTGTGGCTTTCCAAGCATTCATTGGATCCAAAAATTATTCATTCACTTGATTTTTTTGGAATTTCCTTCTTTGATTGTATTTTGCAACTAAAACATTTTCGTATTCAATAAACTAAATAATCAAAAGTTTAAAGTATTTATTTGTTATAATTAGATTTTATATTGAATTCCAAAAAATGACTGTTTTGAATGCCAAAAAATTATTCATACATTCATACTCTTACAGACAGGAAAAACAGTTTTGGGTATTGTCGATATTGTTTATTTCAATTTAGAATGAAAAATGGTCGAAAATCAGCCAAATTAAGTTCAGTTATAAACGATACAATTGTCTTGTCTCAGCAAGGTTTAGCTATCATTGATTAGGGAAACAACTTGAACATAATCATTCAACCAGCCGATATGTGGTTTAAAATAGTACAGGCCTGGTCATACAGATAATGCTAAACAATCCAAAAGACCAAGGAAAGTTTAAACAGGACAAGAGTGTGAATTAGTTATACAAGCTGCATATTTTGAGGCGCATGCTATACCGCAAACTATCTGTAAATGCCTCCAAGAAGCAGGATACAAAGACAGAACAGCTAGAAAAAAAATTTATGAGTTAGACACCTCAACCGTTTGGTCACTGTGGTTTCCCGTTGCGAGAAAAAGAAAATTTTTTTTGTAAGTAATAAAAACACGACAGAAAGGCTCAATTTTGCTCGAGAACATATACCTGAACATCTGAAAAAATATTCAAAAAGATGTTAGGATGGCATTTTAATAAAATCTCTTCGCGAACGGTACTTTGTTAGTTTTATATAGTTATTAGACATGTTCATTTTTTGTTAAATTTCCAAACCGAATCCTTGCCTGATTGTTGTTAAGAAGCTGTGATTGTTGAGATGACCGGCCTAGTTAAACTGTTGAGTATGGGATCAACCACAGATCAAAGATTGGAAGAAAATCATACGACCAGCACATGGTTTTCTTCCAACCTTTGATCTGTGGTAGAACCTGTACTCAACAAAGTAAGTTTAATATTTTTAGATATGATGGGTTCGTTTGCAGGAATGCAGTGTGGTGTAGGGTTATATGATTGCTACAGCAGTCAGTGAATTGATAGTTATGAAGATAATCTGAAAGGTATGTGTACAGAACTCCAACACAACTTTAAAAAATGATGCAAAACATACATTTAGAATAATGAAAAAAAAAAACTCATAATTTCTGCAAGTTCTTCACTGACATAAACCTATGTCATTTATGTGCCAAGTTGGTAAGAAAAATCCGAAAATTTACACGTTCCTCTAGAGTGAACTTTAAAAAAAAGGGATAAATCACACATTAAACCTCACAGAACGCATGCAAAAATGGCTACAAAAGGATTGCATACAAAATTATTATATTAATTCATATATGCATTTAGCAGTCTTCATTGACCATATTAAATATTTTAATTAATTATCTTTCAGTCTAAGGTCTTGGTTAAGATGAAAAAGTTAGTGACAAGTAGAAGACGACTAGTCATGATGGCTCAAGTGGTTTGAGCAGCAGCACATTGAGCCAAAGGTCATGGGTTCGAATCCCATTCATAACACTTGCTTTTTCATCTCAACCAAAACCTTAGATTAAAAGAATAATTAATTAAAATATAACTTTGTTATTTTTTCATACTTTTGTGAGTATATGAATAATTTTTTAGCGTTCAAAAATGTCATTTATTGCATTTTAATGTAAAACCCAATTATTTTTTATAACAACATGTAATTTATTGTCGATAGGTTTTAGTAACAAAATAAAATTTGTAGAAATTATAAATGGTGCAATGAATGTGTTATTCACTCTTTTTAAAAATATAGATCCTTTTTCCAGATTTCAAGCGTATAGATCATCATCAAATTCCTTCAACCTGATGATGAGCTATACGCTTGAAGTCTGGATGGTTGAAAACAACTAACTGTAAGTAGGAACTATCTTTTTCAAATTATTAAATAAAATTAGAGTTGATTTTGGGTTTTGGTCTGCGAGTTGGTGAACTCATGTTGAACTGGCACAGGGTCATTTACGAGGTCTGTCTTCACTTGCGAGTTTTTGAGTTATTCAAATGCTTTTCGGCTGTGCCAGAGACAGATCCAGTACTGACCCTGCGCCAGTTCAAAATAAAAATTAAAGAATAAAATGCAAAAAACAAAAAAACCAAATGTATATAAATAATTTTGTGGCAATGTATTGCCAATATTGCTGTTCTTCAAGTATCCAATTGTACCATATTAAATGTTAGTTTTGTTTCCTTTCTCTCTTAATCCTCCTCCTTTATTAATTCAAGTTTACAAACACAGTTGTGATTCATTTGTGAATCTTCTTTGAGAAATATTATTAGAGAGATAGATAAAAGATTATCAACAACAATGACCTCATCGGGATTACGCATAATTTTTCAGTATGCATTTAAACTTGGCCATAACGCTGCTGAAGTTTGTGTTGTAACATCAATTTCGGGTGGATTCTGCGAACGAAAGGACTGTTTACCAGTGGTTTTCAAGGTTTCAGAGTGGCAATTTTGAATTTGACGAGGAACGAGCCAAAAACCAAACTGGATAATCACCACTGAGGGTGGTGGTTGAATCTGGTCCCTCAAGAAGCACTAGGGAATATGCCAAAGAACTGGAAGTAGATGCTACAACCTTTTCAAGGCATTTAAAAGAAAATGGGAAAACAAAAAATTAGATACAGGTACCATACGAACCACAGAAAGACAAACGTTACAAAATGTGTTCTTCGCTTTAGCAGCAAAATCACAATGAACCATTTCAGAACTGGATCCTCACTTGTACGAAAATCAGACAAGGTCAGATCAATGGATAGAGATGAGTCCCCAGAGCAGACGTCAAAGTCAAGCCTGCACCCAAAAAAATGATGTTGACTGTTTGGTGGGGAATTTTAAATTTTTAAACCCTAGTAAAACAATCACAGGGAACTCGTATTGCCAAGAGTTAAATATTTTTTATCAGAACTGCGAGAAAAACATCCAAGTTTGGTCAATAGAAAACGGACTTACTCCTCACGTCAATGCTCGTACTGACGTTTCAAGAACAATGAAAGAAAGAAAACATTGCAAAAACTTCAAGAGCTAAAAATTGAAATTCTTCCACATCCACCATATTCACATGACGTATCGCCAACTGAAGTCTACCTTTTTTGTGCCCTGGAACGTTTTCTAAGAAATAAAAATTTTCAAACTGGATATACTCTCAAAACAGCAATCGAAAAATTCTTTACATCTCCAACTCCAAACTTCTACAAGGAGGCAATAAAAAAAGCTTACAGCATGTTGGGAGAAGTGTATTTCAAATAATGAAGTTTTGATTGATTAAACAGGTATTTATCGTATTGATTCCAGCTTTATAAAATTACCCCAATTACTGACATTTCATACGGTGCAACTGGATATGAAGTTCTTTAACTATTACTTATTAATGCAAGATTTGGCTTGTTCGGTACTGCTGGCTGTTTTGTAAGTCATGTCAGTTAACCGTAATGTGTGAAGTTTAGTACAACCGCAGGATTAGTCTGCGCCAAAGTTTTTGTGTCAACAGTTCATTGACTTGCTTACAGCACATAAAAAATAGTCTCCTTGTCCAATATTACACAATGCTTGACTTATGTACGTAGGCAAATATTTGTAGAATAGTAAATGTTGAAAATGTCAACTTTTCTGTTAATTCTTTGTATCCTAGAAATAAAGCCAACGGCGAGAGGAGGTCTTTAGAGGTGTTTAGCTAATCTTTTTCAATAGTGTTAAGCAAAAATAATAGAAACTTTAAGAAATAAAAGAAATATTAAGGAAAATCGTGTTTATTTTTTTTATTTAGGTTAGTGTATTTCGGCGTTATCCTTTATTTTTCAAAGCTCCGGGGGTCGACATGCGTGAAATCAAAGCCCGTGGGAATGCTGAGGTACGAAAACCGTGAACCTCGGGTAATGAATATGGTGAAAAAGCGAGACGAAACGGACGCAACAAAAGACATATGGCGATGGATCTGTGTGGAAGTCTCACCTTCCGTAAATACCATCTGTTATTTTGTTCCTTTTTATAGGCCTTCGGAGCTTCGGGCACTCGCCATTCCTCCTCTTCATATTACCAGAACGGCTGAGGGTCTCTTCAGTTTCAATCCAGGCGGCGTCGGACAGGAAATTGAGAAAATCAGACTGAAATCGAATTTATTAGAATCGTAATAACCAGAGGCAAACTATCAACTACTTTTGTTGTCATTTATGAATATCACGACTCCTAACCCGCAAAAATATCGATTCTACACTTTTGGAGCAGAGAGAGAAGCGGGATGAGGTATCGAATAGTCTAAGTCCACCGACCACCGACCGCGATCCACTTCCAGCAATTATTTTAAGTTGTAAATAAGACCTTTTCGGACTTAGTACCACTTTTTCAAACTTTCGTAGTTTATCTAAAAGGCTGGAGATTTTTTCCACCCCGTGTTAACAGCGCGGTAAATAATTTTACAACTGATAACTGCGGCTGCGGAGGATGGGCCATGATTCCGGCAGAGAGGGTCGACATCAATCTCAACTGCCTCGATTATCCAATATTACCATCATTAGTCCACACAGAGACCCGAAAAATATAAAATTAAACAAAAAATCATTAGGATTTCAAACGACGAAAAGACAGGATTGTTACAAAAACGCATGAGTTAAGACTGAACCATAAGAACAGTCATGGTCTGCAAAAGGATCTCTCATGGTCTATCTACAAAAGGACAGAAAAAATTCATCACAGGGTAATTATAAAATAATATAACTGGATATTTTCATAAACCAAACCTTTTAAATTTAAAACTATTTCCTTGAGGTCTACAAAGTTTCCGATGATCCTTTTCTTCCTGGTCTGACTATTCTCCATGGTTTTGCCTAAATATTTAGATTTGTTTCAGGTTTATTTATTTACTAACGGCTGGTCATATCCTTTTTACAGCATTGAGCAAAATAAAGCATATTTCATGTACTGTAAAAAGTAAGAATTAAGCTTTTTTTAAATGAAAATTGTCAACATCTTTGTTCACCTTTTCTTTGAAGGTTTCCTGTCCCTTGGTTGCAATTTACTAATTAATTCCCCTTTTAGCCTATATTTGTAGTGGTTTATGTATTCTCTTATACTAAGCCATTTCTTGAGTTCTGTTAATAACCACCATTGTTAAATCAAAAAAAAAAAAAAAAAAAGTTCAATCAGGATCATACAAATTACAAAACCCAATGTTCAAACTATCTAAAAACAAACTTGACAGTAGCAAACATATTTTGTCAGACCAATCACTACTGAACCTTAATTATAAGCAACAACCAAATGAAGGAGATGAAGTCCACAAAAGCACCGAGCAAAACTAAGAAAAGCAAGGATGACAAAAAAATAAATGAATGAATGTTTGACATAACTTGAAGTGAACGTCAGTAGTCAAAAGGAATGTAGATTAAATGTAACAAAACACAAATTTGTCGCTAATGAATAGAATTCTACCTTGAGTACAATACAATTAATTAAGGTTTTTAGTTGAGATGAAAAAAATGGGGTTGAGATAGGAAGTTGGTGTCCGAGTGGATCAAGGTCACGATAGCTCAAGTGGTAGAGCAGCGGCGTATCTTGCCAAAGATCGTGGGTTCGAATCCCGCTTGTGCCATTAACTTTTTTTCATCTCAACTAAAAACCTTAATTAATTGGTGATGACAAAAAAGGTATTAATGAATGTTTAACACAACTTGAAAAAGTGAACATAACTAGTCAAAAGGAATATACATTAAATGTAACAAGTATATTTGATTCAGTGTTTAGGACGACCAGGTCAACTCTCAGATTTGGTCCCCCATCTCCCTGCCTCTAGCATCTGTGCACAATGCCATATGTTGTGTGAATTAAAATTGCACAACACCATAACTGACAGAGGGAGCTGCTTGACGGCAGAGACCCTACTGTTGTGGCACGATCCATCTAGAGGGAGATAGGCACTAGGCAGTACATAGAGTGTGGTTCATCGGCACCGCTCTCCTGTTCGTGATCGCCTGGATGCTTAATTAATTAATCCTAACTCTTGTGTCAGTACATTATTATGACTACTCCTCTGTGTGCCCTACCTCTGGAATCTGATACCCCTTGGAAAGAGGAGGGCCCAGGGGGGATTTGGGTTTCTTGTGGGAGTGTTTGGAAATCCACAAGGTCAATAGAGGAACCTATTCGACCAAGGAGCTTGCACGATCCAGATGCTAATAAGCAATTGAAAAGTGAACTAATTGTGCAATTATTCAGATATCGTGAGATGCGGTCTGGAGTGATGTAGGTTTTAGAAAAACATTTTCTTTATCGTGCCAATGTTTCGATCTTTTATTGAGATCATCTTCAGGGCTCAAAGTGTTTGTCTTCTGTGTAATTGTGCCCGAGGGCACTCTCAACACGACACGCAAGGATGGCATGATGTTTTTCTGAAACCTACATCACACCAGACCGCATCTCACGATATCTGAATAATTATCGATTAACGGTCACTAATCTCCACACATAACTGTGTAATGTACAAGTATGCACTTTAGAGCATTCTCTGAAATTAAACTACAGCATGTTCTGTAACACAGAAATTAAATTCAAGCACTTTTATCTATTTATATTATTCATTTATTTCAAAATAATAGTTTTGTACTTTTTGTTAAGCAAGCAAAGATTCATTTCAGTTATAAAGATATTTGTATTAATTTAGATAGTGCATTCCAGCATATAAGTAATGCAAATGTATTGCTATGTTTGTCAATAATTTTAAAATTGTTGGGCCCTAAAAATAAGTAAATAGAGAGGAAAGAAGAAGGCATTATGCTTTATGTAACACAGTAGGGGTGGAAAATATACATCATTTTATGGTGACATGCCCAAAATTGAAAGAGTTCAGATTAAAATGATCTGTTAAGGACAAAAATTATCCAGGAATATTTGACATACTTTAATGGGAAAAATTGTTAAAGCCTGTTTGTCATGTAAGCTTTAAGATATAGAAATAATTTAACAATAGATTGTTTTTTAATTATTGTAATGGATGTGTATTTATTGTTGTAACTATTTATTTAATAATTTATTAATTTATTTATCACATTTTTTGTTATGATGAACATTAGTTCATGCTAAAAGAAATATGTTTAAACAAAAAGAAAAATGTCTAAATACTTATTTCAAAAATAAATGCTTCTTCTTATAATTTGTTAACTTTTCTAATTATAAAATATTTTATTTTTACATTTTTATGAAAGGCACTATTAGATTAAGTAAAATTGTTTCTTGTCAGTTGGTCATTACTGATCATTTTGGTCTGTCTGTCAACGAAATTACCAGTAGACCACATGCGGAAATCCACAATTTTTATTGTATTCAGAATAAAATAATTTGACTTATTACTTAATAAGTTATGTATTACTTACATATTAATACGACTTTGACTAGAGGTATTGTTTCATTACCCAAGTCATAACATTTTTTCGTTCTCTGGAGCCAGATCACATTGCATTCAAGCATTATTATTTTATTTCTAACACCAGCTTTGGTTGACTTAAATTTGGCTAATAATAAACATTTGTAAATTTTTATTTTAAATTTAATTTATTGTTATATATACTGTGGTACACTTTCATCCCTCAGTCCTGCCAGATAAATATAAATGCTGAGAAGAAAGAATTATTAGAGGGCGTCGGTGGTCGCAACGGTTTAGGCGTTGACACGGTGCTCATCACTGTAAGGCAAAGGTCCTGGGTTCGAACCCAGCGGCCCTGCATTCAAACCCGACATACTTACAAATGGGCTTTTTTTCAAAAGCACCGGCACCCTGAGGGTTTATATGGCCTCTGCTGATGCGAACCCTCGTTAAAAAAAAGTCCTGAGCCTGCTCTGACGAGAGAAACAAGTCATGCTTTTGTGAATGATTTGGACTTTTTCACACCCTGCGCCCTCTGCTGCAATTGCACTGCCTGTGTTCTGTGCCCTCCTACTGTATCTGCATCTTTTTTGCCTATTTTTGCAAGAGGCGTTCTTTGGTCAGGACTTGCTGACTTCCAAATCATAAAGAAGACCTCGCTCAACACAATTATAACATCTGATGTGTCTGCTGCTTCCATTGACGTCTCGTTATCGCCACATCTGTATTTGACCTCATTTTTCGATGGTTCATGGATATCTTCAGCGCCCATTGAGAAATTTCACTGTGATGTCAGTAGCTTATCCACTAAGGTGACAACTTTGGTCTCATTGTTTCCTATTACAGCACCTAATTATGAACCCACGTGAAAGGTGTTGAAGGAACAATTAAACAACAAAATAGTTCTTCTTAGAGCCTATATGGAACAAATTAGCCAATTCAACCATCAACAGAAGAATAGTTAAACTTATTTGCTGTCATTTCTACCTCCTCAAATCTTGGGGAATTCTACTTTAAGGTAGTGTCCTTACCAAACATACTTAATTTAAAATAAATATTAAATATGGACCCAAAACTTGATGTTATGAAAGTGGAAGGGCAATCAGGAGGTTTGGAAGGTGAAATTGAAAATCAGAAAATTAAGGAAAACCAACAATTTCGAGCACTTGGTTCGCAATCATCCTCTCTAAATCTGTTCTCTCTGAATTAACATATATATATAAGAAGACAGCTCTAGTTCATCACAATTATTTGGGTCCACATGTAAACGTCCAGCTTGATCTGACATCCATTTATTTAAAAATAATAATTTTATATATATTATTTAGCATTTAGAAAGTATTTTGTGTTTATGAAAGGTGCCGCTACATTTTAATAAAAAATTCTTAAGAATAAAATATTATAAAGAATATATTGTAAAATAAAATATATTGAAAAAGTGCAAGGTTGTTTGGAAGTCATTTTTTTTTTTTTTTTTTGTTTGTTGCATTTATAATTTTAATTTATCCAGCTCATCAGTTGCCTCATTGTTGAGTGGTATTGTTCTGTCAAAATCACATGATTTCAGAAAGGGCATGAATACTATATAAAAAATGTGTGCAGAGGAATTTTAGGTAAAACTTGGAACGAGCTAACTAAGAGTCACCCTCATTTTAAGCACGGACTATTTCATCCTCTTGATCCTCTTTATGTGTCTTGGTCATCTTCTTGCTGGTTTTGTCTATGTGTCTTGGAGATGGTTTTCACCATTACCAGATTTATTTATTTATTAATGAGCAGCCAAATCTTTTTTACAAAATGGAGCAAAATAATGACAATCCATTAATACAGGAAATTTTACTTGTTCTTCTTTATTCATAGCTGTCTTTTTCTTTTTGTACCGATGAAAATTATTCTTTAGTTTTTTTAGAACTTTTTGAATGTTTCTATAATTTAGAAAGATAGAACTTAATTTTTAAAAATCCTGTCTTCAAAAAAGTTCTAAAAAATAAAATTATAGTTTTACTTACTAAATATATATTAGAGGTAGCTAAATTTTTTATTTATACTAGGACACAGTGGCAATGTGGAAATGAGCAAGCTGATGTAAGTTCACATTTAAAATTAGCTGACAAGCTATCTAATACAACACAAAAGAAATTTAAAAGAGTATTAAACAATGAAAACATCTCTCTGAAAATGTAGAAAAGAGGAAACTATAAGGTAAGATTGTAAGATTACACATGGACACCTAATGGCTAGGGAACCACCATCTCACCTCAATACTCAACTTGCAAAGGGCAAGCATTTGATTGTTTCTTGTGGGAAATATGCCTCAAAATAAGTATGGATAGCTTGTGGGATTGCTAAAATTGATAATTTTAGTTTATGTAATACATTTTAGGTAGCTTTAACCCCAGTGGTTGTTTGCCTTGGGGTCTGTTGGGTGAATGATAAAGGTAGTTAAAAGAGCTACAAAGAGTGAGTTAGAACGAGATTGGTGTAGACATGATATTAGCAAGTTAAATAAGTCTGAAGAATGTGCCTTGTGGTTGAGAAATTAGTATAAAAATAGGCCATGAAGTGAAGTTAATTGTATTAACTACTGCAGTACAAAGTATGGGAACCTCATACTAATGAATTTATTGGCTCTAGATGGTCAATATGATTATTGAAGGAGATGGATTAATTTAAAAGGAGAAGGATTAAAGTAACTCTATCATCTTTAATGACGTTTACTTTGTTCGATGTTAAATTGGAGATTGAATACTGATTAGGGTATAATTTAGGTCTGCTGAATGAAATAATGCTACACTTTTACTGGTGCACCACATTTCTTAGTCTGTAAATTAGCGCAGTTTGATTCAGAGAGAACCTTGTGGAAAATTTTAAGGTTGGCAAATAAGAAAAAATCAGGTCTGAATCATTTGTTTCATGAAAACTTAAATCTTCAGGTTCATTACAGATCTCAATAAAATATTTACCAATTTAAAAGGGCGTTAGTTAAAATAGCGAAAGGATGAAGAATTTACATGAAAAGCATGATGAGAAATTACAGCCTTCATCAGAAATATTCTATCATTTTCTGATCATCTTTATATAAACCTGACAAAGGAAAGGTATACAGGGTGTCCCAATTCCTTCTGACGAAACTCAGGGAACGATTCTACTCTTCATTTGGAGCAAAAAATGCTCAGGAGAAAATTTTCGGAAAGTTCTCTATTTTGAAGATATTCGTCAATTTAGGTTTTTTCAACTTTTCACTACTTTACCACATAAAAACGCTTACAACTTCCAAAATGTTGAGACTACAATAAATCCAATTACACCAATTGAAAGAACGCTAAATTTGCTGTAAGATACTTCTATTTGCAATAATCTGAATGACACAAAATGTTAGCCAATATCAGTTGGAACATGTCAAAATTACAAAATTTAAAGTTTTGGTCATGATTGCACGTTCTACTGAGGTTACAAAAAAATACCTACAACTTGTCAAATTTCACAAAAACTTCTTCATTTAATATGCTTTATGTTGATTTTTCAACTGCATTAGAACGTTATTTAAAAACCTGGATATATCAATGTAAAGGATATTAGATGAAGAAATTTTTGTGAAATTTGACAAGTTGTAGGTATTTTTTTGTAACCTCCTAAATGAAAAATGGTACATTACATGAAACCGATTTGTAATAATTTTGAAAAAGTTTAATAAAAAAGCAAAATCCCTACTTTCTTATGATCTTTACTGTACCGATAATAATGGAGAAACGTTTACATATATGACAAAAACAAAAAAGAATTCAATCAAAATTTTTTTTCATTACTGTGTTTTTAAATATCATCAAAATTTATTACCAGAAGAATAGTTTGTATAATGTCCAAGAAAAATAAATATTGCACATCTGTTTATTTTTAAACTTTAGTTTGGATTTTCAATTGATTCTATTGCTGTACATAAGTATTCTCCAAAAAGATCTTAATAAGGTATTTAATATTTCAAAAGCTTCCTAAAACGTTTTTACTTATTTACGTCACATCTGTGTTATTTCAAGAAAGTGATGAACTTTGTAAAAGGAATCTTCTTTATTTCAATTAGAGAGTGAAAAAGATAATATAAGACCAAAAGTTTAACTCGGGACAGTTCATTCGAACATAATACTTGCAGCTTGATGTCTCTGATCAGCTTAGATTTGTATGTCAGAAGCATATTGACACTATCACCATGGTCTAAAGATATTTTAAAAACAGATCAGGATGTTCAGAAACAATTATGCTAGTCGTGTGTCTCACCACTTCACTAAAACATAACACTTGTGTTAAACTTTAAATCTATTTTTTGTGTAAATAAAACAATTATAAGGACTTTTAAACGCAGAAAGAATTAAAAATCACAATTAACAAAAGTACTAAGTTGTTTTTGTCATGCAGATGCCACCAAAAAAGGGATTACAAAAACCAAAAACACCTTCCACTCCAGGTTCAAAAGGAAAGAAGAAAGTAGCCAAAAAGACAACATGGGAAATCATAATGGAACAGACTCTCGTAATTATATTTTTTTTTCATGAATTAAAAAGGAAAAATTGGAAACATGTTTTCCTTTCTAGGAGGAATTCGACGAGGATACGGTCAAAGAGCAGTATCCTCAGGTTTTTGAGGCGTTCCATTTAACCACTCAGGAAAAAACTTATGATGGCGCCTTCAAGGAAATGAAGGTACGTTTTATGTTATTAAATTTAATTTCAGAAAAAAATATACACAAAAAGCAAATCTTTAAGATAGTTTTCTTCAAGAAGAATCTTTCATAGAAGGAAGATCCTGGTTCATAATTATTGTCAAAAAAATATTTTTACCCTAAAACACAGAAATCATGCTAAAGAATAGGATATGAATATTTAGTTCCTTCTTAAACTTGTTTTATTGATAATCTCAATACAAATGAATTAATTATTAAAAGTATGCAAAGGACATTTTATAATTTGTTCAGCACGAGTGGCATGTGTACAAATACTGCAATGACCTTAAGGATATGTACATTTCCAAATTGAAAGATGACCATATGTTGCTCGAAGAGCAGAAGAACATAATGAAAATTGTTGAAATGGAGCATATCGATGATATGTTGGGTAATAAGTCGGTTAATTTTTAAATATGAATTTGGGTGAACAACCAAGATAAGGCAAAAAAAATTATGTCTGACATTGAAAATTTTGTTTTGTAGCAAATTATATAGACACTGTAGACAGGGCGATTGAGACTTATAAGGACCGAAGAGATAGACTGATGCGAGAGAGGTTTACTTTTATGAACCGAAATTTCAGATCGGCTCACGAGGATGTAGAGTATGTAATGCAGGCTAAGGATGTCATGATGAAAGAACACCATGAAGAAATGAACCACCTCAAGGGGGTGCAAACATTTGAAAAAGACGAACAAATTAAAAAGGTAAAATATTATGATCGGCATTGATGAACAATTTCCTTATTTTGGATTTATCTTTCAGTCGAAAGCAGAACTCAGAGTGGTGCTTAAAGACGCCTTAAAAGACATGCTTGATAAGTTCTGCCAAATTAGAAGTATATACTGCACGTATATAACCAACACTGAAAAGAAGAGAAGAGCGTTTTCCCAGCTGAAGGCAAAGGACAGATCTGATGACATTATCATCGAAAAACTCAGGGATAAAATTGCAAGCCTCCATGTAAGACTGATTGTTCTAATTCTTGAATTATATATTTAAAAAAAGTACCTGTCATGTCTAGATAGAGAAGGAATACATAACAAAAAAAATGAAAATAGAATACATTAATGCTTCGAAAATAGAAGATCTGGAGTCAGAAAAAGGCACTCTTGTAGATATGCTTGGAAAAATGAGAATACAGCTTAAACAAGATTATGCCGAGGATGGAGCCAGGCTAATGCATCTGACAAATTTGTGCAATTCGGTTATTGAAGTAGGTCAATAACAAAATACAAAAAATATAAATATTTTAATTGCAATTTTTAAAGGAATTGCAAGAGCAAGAACGTCTAGTTGAAAAGATTTTAAAATATATAATTTTAAGCCATAAATACGAGACGCTGTCGGAAAAGATTCAGCCTTATTCAACAATGATTGAAAGGATTGACATCGCTTTCAATGACGTGAGTTTGATTAAATTAGTAAATCAAAGACTTTTGTGACATATTGCTTTTTTTTCAGGATTTCCCAGAGTACCGAGACTTGGACAAATTTCTCTTTAGAATGGCTCAAATTGAAATTCATGTCGACTATATGAAATCGTTGCTTGAAAAATACCAAGATCAAGAAAGGGAGTTGAAAGCACTTGTTTCTGACGCTGTCAGCAAGTTTTACGTTTGAAAAAAGGTCCAAATAAAAAAAAAAAAAGAATCTATCTAGTTATTTTAAGGAATTAAGTTTCAGGGAAATTCAATAGTGTTTGAAACTTAAAATATTTGGAGAATTAAATTATATTCCACCCAACACACACAAGGTGAAGTCTCCCCACTTGAGGTCACATATAGAGTTGTCAACTAGGTCCAGGGGTCCGATGCCTGTAGTATGCCAGTAAGTCGGATTCAGAGTCAAAATCACAGTGTGGGTTAGTGTTAGAACCTAAGTCAGGGAAAGATAGATGGAGAGTCAGATACCATGACACCCATCGCCTGATTCTGTAGTGGTTGTCTTCCTGAGAAAATAGTCAGCAGAAGAAGGCTTCCAGTGATCCACCGCTGTCAAAACTTACAACCCAGCCTGTCAACATTCCTCCACCTCATGAAAATTCTATACTAAGCAATAAAACTGATTGTAAGCAAGGGGTGCCACTCCTTAAACTGAAGTATTTATTAAATTAGGCCCTCTGTAGGTTGTACCTCTTCAAGAAGATACCTCAAGGCATGAGTGCCCCAATACTTTTTTAGCACATCAAAAATATCTATTTTAAAGTAAAATAATGGAACATCTGTTTTTTTGTCGAACATATGTTTATATTTTATCGGATGTACTTAATAGTTAAGGGTTTAAAAATTAAAGTTATTTGAATTTCTCCCTATTTTTTAAGCTTTATCTGCATAGAAGGAAACAATAGAGAGAAATATGCTCGACGATAATCTGGTAGATATGACCAATGTGATATTTATAATTTTTTTTTTATCTCTGCTTTGTTTTACAAGGTGAAAGACAATCTATACTGGATGAACAATGTAATAAAAGGGACGAGGACTGCATTTCTAAACTTAAATATTTTTGTTTTGATTTTCACAGTCTGTTTTATTCTTGGCTTAAGAATTTTCAACCATTATAAAAGCCTTCAAAAGGCAGAAAATGTTCAGCCATTTGTTTCGGGTGTTTCAGGTGCAAGAACATGATCTTAATACCATATTTTTATCAAAGAAACGTAAAACAAGCCAATAAAAAAATTCATAATTTGTAAAATCCAGGGTGTTTAGTAACTACTCGTATAATTTTGCCAACTTGTACAATGATAATTTTTTTAACTCATTTAAGTTTTTAACTCAACAAATTTATTTCAATATAGATATAAAGTATTATAGTATATATAGAATAAATATTAATTGTTTATTGTTTAATAGACAAAATTAAATTCAATTAGATCAATTCCATATCACATATCGTTCTTGCTAATCTTTCCTTTCTGCTATAACTAAAGTTGAATTTAGCATTATAATTTGAAATATAAATAATAATTTTAAATTATTTAAATACAAAAAAATTATATATTGATATTTCTGCACTTCTAAGAACGTTCTGTTCTGTTTAGTTTCTAATTTTTTTGTATGACTAGAAATCTACAGTCTTTATTGTTTTATAATTGTAGATTATTAAAAAAATTAAAGAAATTGATCCTAGTGATATTACACAATTCTGTTTGTATAAAGCTAAACAACAGAAGAATGTGCATGTAAATATCTAGTATCGATTTCTTGCTATTAATTGAATTTAATTATGTCTATTAAACCATAAGTTAAGTTAATATTATTTATCTTTTAAATTATAATGCTAAATTCAACTTTAACAAGCATAAAGATTAGATCAGCGATATGCCCCTTAATGACATTCTTTATGGTACATGAGAAAAAAACCATGAGATCATCGAGACTTTGGAATAAATTCAAACTGAATTATATGCAACAAAGAAATAAAAAAGTTTGGAATCCAATCAAAGAGGATAGCTATACTCTCTAACAGTCAGCTAACCCTCGAATTTTAAACCTTATAAGAAGTAACAAAAATGGCAAAAAGGAGGGAAAATTCAAAAGGTGGGGTTGAGATGGGAAGTTAGTGTCCGAGTGGATCAAGGTCATGTAGCTCAAGTGGTAGAGCAGCGACGCATCTAGCTGAAGATCGTGGGTTCGAATCCCGCTCGTTCCATTGACTTTTTTATCTCAACTAAAAACCTTAATTAATTGCCTTATAACAAGTTAAATATATATTTGACTTTTATTGCATGTCCTCGATTCTGATTGAGTTTAATACAGACATAGAGAGAAAAAAATTTCCTTCTTCTGGGATGATGATGAGGATAAATTCCTTTTCCTAAAGTCCTTAAAGAGGTATAACATAAAAAGGGCTTTAAAAATTTCAATTTAAGGGGTGGTGCCCCTTGCTTACAATCAGTTTTATTGCTCAGCATACAAACTTCATGAGTTAGTGAGGGGTTGGGTTCCTAGGTACACAGGCTGATCTACCGCCCAAGACCATTGGATCGATGGGCAGTCTAGCAATACAAGAATAATAATTGCTAGTTATTCAGATATTGTGAGATGCAGTCGGGTGTGATGTAGGTTTCAGAAAAACATTTTCTTTATTGTGCCAACGTTTCGATCTTTTATTGAGATCATCTTCAGTTTATCTTCTGTGTAATTGTGCCATCCTTGCGTGTCGTGTTGAGATCATGATATCTCAATAACTATCGATTAACGGTCACTAATCTCTACACAATAATAATTGCTTATGCTAGTAGAATCACCAATGACTGAGGAATAGTCTCTCCCTGGGATAAAATAAATAAGAAAGTTTTTGAAAATAATTGAATACAGTTACATAATCTCATTGTGTTGCAATGATGTCAACATCAACCAATAACCCTTCTTGTAGAAGCTAAAGATCCTCTGTTAGTTTCATAAGAAAAAGGCTTGCACGGAAGTTTTTGATGGAAAGACTAATGACTAACAACCCCATGTCGAAGATGTCACACTAACGAAACATGTACTGATGAACAAGTTTTGGAGCAAGAAAAAAACCCCACTTCTAATAGAAGCTCCTGCATTTTAATTCAAACTCTGAAAAACCCAATTGATTACCATTGTAGTGTTGAGTACATTGAAATAATTAGAAAACTCGTCGTAAGACCTAACTTCCTCCACCATTGAAGTGACAGCTCCTAAGGGTATTGGCAGGAATTTGATGCCATGCGGTATTCATTGTTCCTAGAACACCTACATCTATGCATTGATGGTTCAAAAAATCACTGGAATAGGTGCAGCGTGTACTGATGTGAACAATAAACACCACACTTAATTTCAACTCTCTTAAATAGCCTTCATAGCAGAGCTTGTTGCAATAAAAGAAGCGTTGCTCCATGCCACATGTACTACGAGGAACCGAATTATTTCAGATTCCCAGTCACTGTTAAGCGTTAAATCACCTGCTGCCAAAACCCGAAAAATAGTATCGTTATGGCAGAGATAAAACGCAATAGGACCTATCACAATTATATAAAATAAAGGACATGCCGGGGTTCAAGGGAATGAATAAGCTAACCTAGCAAAAGCAGCGACCACGATATTGACAAATATGTATCGTCTATTAATGATATCGGATATCCTATCCCAAATTAAAGATTCATTCCCCTCCTGGAAGGAAATCGCTTAGTATCTCACTTAAGAGAGGATCGAGGGCTCGGCCCTTTGCCATTGATGTGAAGCAGGAGCTATGGAGGATTCTAACCTCATCTTTTTGAAATGCAACCAGCTGAAAAATGGTCATCAGGACATTTGGAAAACAGCAGAGGATGGTGTGGTGCTACCTGCCAACATTCAGGGTATCCTTCAACACCCATCAACATATGGGCAAATATATAAATTTACTGTAATAAATGCCTTAGATATATAATGTAATTATAATTTTGGCTAATTTTTTTAAATAAAAAAAGAGTAATGGAACATGATTTAACTAAAACAATCTTGTGGGGCAAAAAGTGGCCTCCACTATCACCTATTCCATAACCCTCCTAAATTATAAAATGAACAATAATTGTAATCATATATTTAAAAAAATTGGCGTGTATAAGTAATTGTGGGGAAAAGGTAAGGAAGGATGAAAAATATATTTTAAAAAAATTAAATATAACCATGTTTTTTTAATAGGTTTTCTCTTTTTTTCCTCTATTTTCTGATTACACATAAAAATGACTGGTGAATTTTCTTCTCATTTAATAAAAATAAGTCAAATGAATGGAAAACTTACAAAAAATCTGATGTGTGTACAATGGCACTTAAGCCTAAAAGTGAAAAAGAACAGAAAAGCTTCAAAACTGAGGCGGGTTTAAAAATTAATACAATATTTTGTTTGACTTAACACACAACAGGAACTTGTTTTTCTACATGTCATTATTATGGAAAACAAGAGAAAGCCAAGCACTATGAGTTTTGTAGTGAAATTAAAAGAAATCTACAGAAAAGAGGTATTTATAAAGAGCCTGTATTTTACAGATGTAGATTTTTTACATTTTACAATAAATTGGGGTAGTGTAACCAAATATTTTATCAGTCACATTTCATATTTATTTGCAATTTTGTTTATCTCTCTAATCTATTCGCACATACAATAATTATAAGCATGCAGCTTTATTCCTATTCCACTCAAAGAATTAGTACCTAATAATTAATTATTATTAAAGAAGAGCGTATGTCTTTCATTCAAACTTATTTACAATAAACATATAAACAAAATATCAGCTCAAGCAAGTTTTTTTCTTAAATTTTCATATAGAAATTCCCATATTTTGAGAAAAATAAAGACTAATTACAATCATGTTTCTCCTTTTTATACATTTTTCATAAATTAAATTGAAGTGAGGATGAAATGTATGAATGAAATATATGTTTATATATTTTTTTTAATTTGCCTTTTTAATTATTAATTGGATCACACTTATTTTTTATTTCAGTTTCAGTGGAGAATAAGTACAATTTTGTTAATGGTTTTCATTTGAAATATGCAAAATAAATGGCTGGTTTAAAAAAACACCAAAAATGCAAACATACAAAATTTTGCATTATCTGTTTTATTAACTAATAACATGACACAGTTAATTTTGTCTTTTTTGGAAAGGAAGAAAGGTATGGCTAGAGGGCAAATAAATACTACTTTGGTATTTTGATTTGTTTAGGGATTTTTAAATCTAAATTGGATGTATACTTCAAATCTCAAGTTGGGGAAAATTGCGCCAACATGCAAGTTTTTTTTTCTTTTTTGAATTGTGCCATTTAACTTCTGTATGGATTAAAAATTTTGTCTATCAATAAATAGAGGATACAATTACAGGCATTTAAAAAGGTTTAACAACTTTTGAATGTAATATAATTAAAACAACTAAGGAAAGCTTTTAGAAATTAGTCTCTCTTTATTGAACAAAAATTTAAAACAACAAAAAATACAACAAATTAAACAAAATTTTGCACTTTCAATATTCTAATAGACCAGCCTTGAAAAAACGATTGTATAGCTGCTTTAGTTAAGTCCAGCCTAATGATATAACATAAAAAGAAACTGAAGAAAACTGTGATATCTTGTGTATGTATAGGCCCCACATTGCTAGATGGCGATTATGCATTGTTTTATACAAAGTTTTTTTAAATAATTAATTTTTTGAAATTCAATTTTAAAAAAAATTCTGGCAATTTCATTTATCACAAGAATAAAACATTTCATCAACTCCAAGAGCTACTGAAAAAGAATAACAAAAATTTACAAAGATACAGAAAGCAATTCTACTAAATTACACATCCATTTCATAAAATTCGCAAATTTAAAAGGAAAAAATTTTAACACCAAATATTAAATTTTTAAAACAATCACATTTTTGAAAAATAATGGCAAAAATTACACCATAAAAATTAATTTCTCTTTTTAAACTCCGTAGGAGCTCCGAGATCCTAATTTTGACTCGAACGGATCTTGTGATAAATGAAAATAAAAAAAGAAAACAACAAAGAGAAAAAATTGAAATATTAACAAATACATCGTTAACTTATTTACTATATATATATATGCATTGTTATTTCTAAGTTTAGATACACAAAAATACTATTTTGAAAAGGAGATCGCAGTTAATATTGCAGGCTTGATGACACACAGACGAGAAAAAATCAAGGCCACCGAAATACAAATAAAACGGAGGCCTTTCCTTTTTAATTTTTATAAATGGGAAGCTCCTCTTGGAAGTTAACAGTGTCACTTTTTTCATTATTCAACATTATTTATATATATAATTAATAAATTAAAAAAAATGTCACTTCTTACTTCCCCTATAATATTAAAAATTCATAAACACTCTCCCGTCTTTTTCCGAACTATAAACATCCTCCGATTCTCACAGAAAATTGGAAAAAAGATAAAATATTAAAAAATAATAAAAACCGAGGGGGGTAAAACGAAATTAATTAAAAAGCACGTGGAGGAAGGTCTTTTGTTTTAAAAGTCACACACATTGTCTCTTTTTGTTTCATTTTTATATATATATATATTCAGCGGACACTTTGACCCTCTTCCTGTTGCCCGTTTTCGCACGCACAGTAAAGATGATTGCGCTCGATTGGTTGAGGTAGATTAGCGTCGTCGGGTGTCTTCTTGTTTCCAGATTGTTATCTGCGATCCTTATATAGAAGATATGTGTTCATCGCGTGTGGCAGGTTCAGGTCTGAAATTTTCTCTTCGAGCTGCTGCTTGCCTACTCTCTGCCTAATGACCCTCCTGCAGAGGTCCATTAAAGGAAGTGGCTCCGCTGAAATTTAAAAAAAGAAAAAAAGAAAAGTATTTATACATCTGTTCATAAGGACATTTATTTGGATGTAAAATCACTTACGATCAAGGCCGCCGATGTATTTCATCGTAATTTCACAATGTCCCCATACTGCGCTGACAATTGGGTACAGTTTCCGACCTTTCAGACCCCTGAATGCGACACCAAGGTATTGACCGTCAACAACAAAGGATAAAGTGCCTTCATCCATGTCGAGGACAACTGGAAAAGGACAAAAAAATTATAAACTATTGTAATTACAAGAATTATTTTGTTACAGTCATTAGTTCTGTAGATTAATTAATATTACAAGTTTACAAAGAAATTAATGCATTATTAGGTATTGGAAATTGAAGTTTAGGCTTAATTATATTCGGCCTTTTCTATCAATTGGGCAGAATTACAGCAGAAACAAATTAAATGTTTAGTATGATGAATATTTAAACTTTTTTTCTGATAAAACCCATTTGAGTTTTATTCAACAAGCCATTAAGAAGAAAGGGCAAATTGCAAACACAACAGAAAACAATTTATGACAACCAAGGTTCTCCAATTAAGATTGGCATAATAATAAGGAAAACAAATGACTGCATGTTAATAATGATTTGGATAAATACTATCACGTCTAGTTTTGATCAGATAGCTTTTTAATATAAGGAGACAAAAAGGTTAATAGGAAAATATGTACTAATTTCAAAACGCCCACACAATTTAGACACACAAAGAATCAACAAGGACACTCATTGTTTCTTGGCCACAAGTTGAATTGTAATTACTTCTGACAAGTAATTTACTTGGACTCTTAAATGGCTGTCCATGCCTAGGATTTTTTATCTCTTACCTAAAAATTTATCTGGTACAATGAAGGTTTCATCTGGTTTCAGGATGGCTGGGTAAGTGACGCCGGTGTTGTTTTTCGAGTCGTGGTAGAGTTTATTCCGGCCGAGATCCCAGCCCCAGGATTGGTCATTGCTACCTACTAGGCTCTGAAAAATAAAATTAATAATTAAAAATTCTATTTCAAAAGCTATTTTATAAGAATAGATTAAATAAAACTTGTCAAGTTTATTTAGAAAGAGCACATGATTATTCAACAAGCAATGTTTTAAATTGATGATAATGAAAAATCATGATCAAAAAACTACTATTTTCCCTTTGTAAAAAGTTCAAAGTGACATTTAAGGGTTAACCTTTAACTGTTGCCTAACAATATTTCCCAATTCAGAGCCAAAAGCTAAACAAATATTGAATTTCTCCTTTTTCCTTCCTTATCTATCGCCACCTACTTTCATTTCTGTCATGAAATAAGACAATATTTATCCATGCCGTTTCCTTACCATTGCAATTTTCAAGGTAAACAGTGTAACAGAGCCCCAAGACAATTCAATTTGTATATTTGTTGAACAATCATGGTTTTCCAACAGATTAAACTGTACTTATTTATTTAGTAATCTCGGCATTGAGCGGGTGAAATTGGTTTTGCGAAATAGTAAAAATCGTAGTACCTGGTACCCTACAGAGTGTAAGGGTGCATCCTGGGTGGCGACTCCGACAACGCCATGTGTGCCCCGTTGTCTCGTTGACCAGTGCACCTCCCAGACGTGGAGACCCTTTGTTAAACCGACCTTCCCTCGTATGCAGTCTGTACTCTGTGCTACTGGGTGTCTGTGAAATGTTAATTTATCATCGTCCTGAAACATGACAAAAAGAAACAAAAATTAGTAATGAAAGAAAATTTTAAAACTTACACGGATTAGTCTTAATGTGCAATGTAACACTTCTCAGATAACCGATTTATTTATTTATTTTTTATGAGATACGACAATAGAGATTTCTGAACATATTTGAAACTTTTTCTTTAAATATCTTTAAGGAGTTAGGAAGTATGCTTATAAATTGCAGCTCATTGGTATGCTATACTGAAAGGCGGTTTAATTTTTAAGGTCAGCAGAAGAATTTTTCTAAAAAGAGTTGTATTAAATAAAATAATTATTATTATGAATATTTATTTAGAAATCGTGGGATGCGGTTTGGTGTGATGTAAGTTTCAGAAAAACATTTTCTTTATCGTGCCAATGTTTCAATCTTTATTGAGATCATCTTCAGGGCCTGGGATTTACAAACATTGTTTACATGTAACAATTACATTTTGGATGTGGAAAAGTCAATTTATACAATGCAAAATATATTTTTTATATATTCAATCAAAGTATTTCTATTATCATTATGAATGATGAATTCTAAAAAAAATACTAGATTTATATTTTTTGTTAATCATTTTCGTTGGGTTTATGTAAAACTAGACAGGATTTTTGTAAAAGTTGGATAGAGCAAGAGAGAGTGAGAGTGAGAGATGATGATGATCAACATGAAAACACTTCATTAATCATCACACATTTGGTCTCAAGGGCCATTCTTAAATCTAATGTGAAATGTAGTAATAAGTTTACTCTAATTCTCATTTATTAAACATTAATAACTTCTAATTATCTAATTTTTGTGGTCAATTTGCTACATACATTCATTTTACATTGAACTACATATGTATTTACTTAAATAGCCTATTCTAGTTGACAGAATAATTGAGAAATTAAACAGTTAATTACTGTATAAGTGAACAAAAATACTTTTCCGATACAATTCAGTACAAATCATGAATTATAAATTGTCAATATAAATCTGGAAATAAAACTTCTACTCACTAAATAGTAATAAAAAAAATAAAAAGCTTGATTAGAAGTGTTTTAAGACTATTCTGGAAATCAATGATATTTTTACATAGTTTTATGTGTGCAGGGATTGCAGAAAATGTTATTACACCTTTTACTGAGAATGACCTATTAAAAGTTTTGGTTTTGTGCTTAATGACTCGCAGACGGGAGTTTGCAAACCTGGTATCTCCATCATGAATCTGAGATTAGTATTTAAATTTGACAAATATATATTTTGGATTTTGAACTATTAAAAGTTAAAAAGTTTACATAATAGATTGTAATCGATTAAATCTGAGAAATTTAAGTTGCGAAAACTTGTTATATATATTGCTGTCATATTTTCGGTTTAGGATGTATCTGATACACATGAACCCGACTTGCAATTTTTTGATCTGTGCACAAATTGTCAACATTGCTCCTAGACTATATGTTGTGTGGAAAGATTAGGGTTGATACAAGTTTTTTTTAAAATATTTACACTGTACGTTGCAAACATAACGTCATATTCTGACAGCTGTTGTTTGTAGCTTAAATCTGAGATTTGTCTAGCCTGAAAAGTAATTTGATCAGTAAATCCCGCAACTGTGGCTACGAAGGACCTTTCAAATGTGGATGTTTTATGACGAGGAAGATATAGGCCATTGGGAAACGAGCGGGTGTTAAGAGAGTGGATAGAGGATTTGAAATTAAGTAGCTTGAGAAAATAAAATAGACCCAAAACAAAAAAGAATGCTAGGTGCTAACCACGGAGGAAGCGATCAGGATAGTTCAAGGACTAAGGACCAATTCTGCAAAGTGACCGGACTTCGTTGGAAAATCCGGTCCGGGAATTCTGTCGGAATCCCAACTTTCGTTCGCAAAAAGTCCCGATAGGTCCTTGAAGCTTTTGAAAGTGGACTCCGAAGGCTGGCCATCGGGGGGAGACAGAAACAATGAACCCTAGAGAGGGTTTCCGATGGCCTTGCTCGTCGCCTCACCCAAACCAGTCCCCGGTGTACAATCTCACGCCCAGATTGTCCGTTTTCCATGACAGAAAAAGTATTCGAGCCGTTCAGAACGAACATGACGATAAAACGTCTGTGGACTGTCAGTTTTTGCTGTCTGCCCTTGGTCCGAACCAAATTCAGCGGACGGTTGGCAAAAAGCCGACCTGGGAAAAGGAACGAGATCGGGCGGGCCCTAGTTAAATAGTTAACTTTTATCATTAGTTTAATATACAATCTATGATGTAATTAATTTTCCATGGTTTATTAATTAGAGAACAATTTTATAACAAGTAGAAAAAGGGAAATTGAACATCTAACATTTTATCACCCTGCTTTCGGTGATTGTATCGCGATTGTATTAAGTTTTTTCAGTTTAGAATGGAAATTGTCTAAAAGTGAGTTTTTTCGGAGACTTGCCTTATTTTTGAATATTTTGGTTGAAAATGTCAATTTTTTACTTTGTGTAACTATATTCTGTCCGATCTTAACCGAACCAAGTAGACACAATAAAGATGGCGATATGCGAAAAGCGTCTGACAGAACAACCCAGCGAGATTGTCAGACCATAATGACCTTTAAGGATCAAATTTCAGGTTCATAAACCCGCAGATCACATGAGGAAATCTTACAATATTTGGTTTGATCAACCTGGTTAGCCTCGCAGTTTTGGTCAGGGTTATAAGCAGGGAAAGGGGCATGCCATACATTCCTTAAATGGAGAGCCAAGCGCGGACGATGAACAAAAGAAAATGACGAAACAAATCTACAGATCTAATAGAGAAATATCATTTTACAATATTAATATTATGCAATGATAATTTTTATTTTGTGGTTTAATCAGCTGTTAGAATCTTCCAAAAAATCTGGTATGAACAGACCAAAATGATCGGAAACGACCAGAGTTTGTTCATCACCTAGCAAATCTCAAGAGGAAAACTCACAAACTTTAGGGGCTTAAATTAAAATAGCTTCCTTATAAATTTATTATATGATCGAAAATCCACTTTTTTAGTGACGAAAATGACTCACTCTTGCTCTGCTTATCCTCGTTGGGCTTATGAAGTCTTTTTTATAAAGTCGTGAAATGGGGTTGTGTGTGTGGGCGTTTGCTTTGTTAGTCGGTGCCTTTGGTGGATTAAGTCCGTTTTTTAAGGACGGTGGGTCGGTCCTTTTTCTTTTTAAACGGCATGGCCTTTTGAATAGTTTAAGGCAGATTAACATGATCGGTAAAGATCAAATTACAGGTTTATAATCCGGCAAAACGAGAAAATCACACAATCATTAGTTTGATAGGAAACGTCCTATAGGATATCATATCGTCCCGGTTTTGGGACGTCAGTGGTGGGTCAGGGTTACAAGCAGGGGGAGGCATGTCAGAACATTCCAATATTGAATGCGTTTGTCGCCTGAGGCAAATGAGAACGATGAACAGGAAAGTTGTTTCTTCACCCTATACCCCTGGCAAACCGCAGAATGACCCACGCAAATAGTGAAATAGTAGTTTACATTAACATATGCACAGCTGTATCATTTGTCAAACCAAAACAGCTAAGATAGGTAGACCAAAATCATCGCAAATCACCAATCTACAGGTTCATCACCTTGTAAACCGCTAGGAGGAAAACTCACAATCTTTAAAGATATTTTATATTTACTTCCTTTCAATTTTAACAATAATCCATATTAGTTTAGGTTTTTTGGAAACAATGTCATGTTTGAACGTATTGGGTCGTGTTAGTGTAAATATGACAAGGCTTTAACTTTCCCAAAAAGAAAATTAACTCACCTTAACAAATATATTTAGCGATCTATCGTCCGGATTCCAGCCGTGCTTTATTTGTACCTCTCTCGACGCCGGAGGCATATCTAAAAGAATATCCAGCCTTGCTGGCCTCTGAAAGTCTTGGGCTAATTCTCTTGGGATGACCGGCTTGTACGGTGCCGGACTTTCACGGTTAACGCTCTTCACTCCATCTAAAAAAAAATAAGATAAAACTATTAAATAATTAAAGACAAACTTTTTTCTTCATAGAAGTGAAACAAAAATTAACGGTCCTTGCTTAAAGAAAGCCAATGGCTGTTATGCTCGTTCCAGCATAAGGAATTGAAAATCTCGTCATGAATATTACAATAGCTAAAACCGTAGACATTTTAATTAAAAACTTCCTCACCGGGGTTATCACCCGTGGAAAATCTCGTTATTTTACTTTTTTTAATACTGTTTTCCTGTAACATTTTCTGCTTGGTACGATTGTTCAAGGTCTTAGGGCGAGAAAGGGAAATATTTTATTTCTTTCCCTTTCTAGTTTTGGTCTCATGCACGACCTTCGATGCCCAAACGGGGGGCAGCTGTACAATATAAAATAAATACAGAAATTTTGTTTTAATAACAGTACAAACAAGTCGACAGGCTAGGGAAGGAAAGGAAATTCATATTGCCATATTGATTACATAAGTAACTCTCTAAATCCACTATACCTTCGCGTGTGGCTATGCGTGTAATCAAACTTTCAACAGTTAAATTAAAGTTAAAAGCTAGCCTTGAATAATTGGAATGTACAGAACACAATACTACTGTCGATACCATTGTTTATACAACTGGATTTTTAAACACCATGATTTATTATTTAAAAGGCTCGGCTTTTATTTATTTATTTATTTTTTTTAATAGAAATTACTATTGAGGTAATTGAAAATATGGTTGCAAACTACAAAATGTGGATTTCCAATTTGTCAAAACGTTCATGGCCTGTTTTACTGGGCATAAAATCCATTTCCGCCATATTTATTTTATGAAGTCCAGGCAAAATTTTAAATTTTTAATAGAAAATCTAGTAAAAGAAGGCAATAGGATGGAGAAAGAATGCAACAAAGTGAAAAACCTGACACGTGTATCAGAGTTTTATATTTTCCATCTTATTGCTTATAAGCCAATACCCCCAAGGGAGTAGGATCGGGAATAAAACATGAGTCAATAAATGTTCAAAATAAGAAGGGGCTTCGTGTATAAAACGACCGGGAGCTCCTCCGCCGAGGGATTTTCAATGGGAATTAGCCGAAAGAGAGTTGTGAGCAGGGATGAATCCGAGCATGAAACGACCATGGGGTCCCTGGCCCCGGAGACTAAATTGAAAGCTGGATTCAGAATTCTTTAAGGCTTCTTTTTCTGAGTTGTGGGGTCTCCGGAGGGGAGAATTCAGACGTTAGGAACCGGTGGATTTTTCAGGCTCAAAATAACCTTTAAAAGTCACAGGGAGGTACAAAAACATGGAACAGGAAAAACAAGCTAGAGAATGTTCAATAGAATGTTCAGTTTTTAACAATATATTTCTACACAGGTTTTTGATGCCTCTGGATAGAGGAAGTTTTATAATGGAACAACATAAATCTCCAAGCATTATTCTATTAAGGGTAGTCTCATACTTTATAACGTTAATGAACTTCGCTTTCAACCCTCTATGAAACAGAATGGGGCTTATTAAATTGAATTAAACGTTGAAATGACTTACTTGATATCTTCTGCCCCATGTTCATACCCCGGCCGCTCCGTGTTCGGCGGTGTTCGAGGTACGAGGCTGTCTTGTTCGGAAGAACCGATGCCTTGTAGTTGTGCCTCCTCAACTCTCTAAGCTCCAGCCCTGAGGCTGTACACCTGCTGCTACTCACGCCCACGGCCTTGAACCTGAAAGAAAACCGAATCATTAGAACACTGGAAATCGGAAATTTCACGACATCCGGCTTACAAACAAACGTACGGCATTTAAAATCTAAAAGCGCGACATTCTTTCGACTCGGTCCCAACGTCGTGTCCGTTTGTAGTTGCCGGTCTCGGGCACGGCCAAAAACTGAGCGTACCTGGGAAGAACCTGGGGTAGGGAGAACAGTTAAGGGCCCAGGGACAGGTAACCGAGAATGAAAGGGCCCCCTTCGAAAATCCCCCTTGGTATAAAGGAAAGGAGAAAGAGCCTTATTATCTCGAGGGGGGCCGGGACTTAGGTGAATCTGCCGCTTTTCGCTGTCCCTAACCTTGGTCAAAACCCTATCTAAGTTCCCAAGGATGCGGGTCGGCTGCCAAGTGGAATGCACCCAATTATTCTGCAAGGGTTTCCAAGTTGAACCACCCCATGCAAACGTTGTGCCGGCTCAAACAGAAATGGATTTGGCAAGCCCGAACAGGCCGAGACTGAGAGGCAAACTGGTTTTTTAATATAAAATTCTTCTTAATAACATTTTTACTGTTTTAATAATAAATGAAGATGACTAGAAAGCCAAAATTTCAATCAATATACATGTATCAATTTTATATGTATGGTGTTTATAAATATATCCATTCCAAAAGACTTTCAGAGTTTTGGCATTTCATTCTACACAAGTTGAAACTTCATTGTTTAGAATTTAATTTGGAAACACCCGAAAATTAATACTCAAAACCCAATCGATAACCTATGATTTTGAATGACTCAATGTGTTATTTATTGACCGGTTGTTCAATAATTTGTTGATATAGTGAGGAGCAGTCAGGAATGAATATTTTAGAAAAACACCTTTTTCATTTTTTTGCCTACGTTTCGACCTTTATTCGGGTCATCGTCAGGACATCTGTAAATTCCAAAACATGTTGATTGAAAAAAAAAGAATATAAGTAAATAATACAAAATGAGAACCAAATATTTCATACTCACATTACGTGTGGTGCCATGTTTGTTTCGTGAAATGTGAATTTGTATTCTGCTGTAATTATATGATTTTGGCAGGGAGGGGGGGCGAGGTAAATCTTGGAAATTTTCTTTGGTCATAGGCGGTTTTATTTGACTCAAAGGAAGTCCAGAATGGTGACTTTCTGGATTAGATTTGGGATTCGGGGTTTATTCAATGGGCACAATTACAATTTCATTTCAACCAAAACCTTACATAAAAATATTAACTAATTGAAAGAAGTAATTTGGTCAATAATAGACCACGAAATATAATGGATTTAACAACTACTACTATTGGAAATTAATTATTATGGTCGATAACGAAGGGAAGGAAAAAATAAAAAAAAGTTTAAAAACAGCAGAATTCAAATTCACGACAATGTCACACGAAAAAAACTAGACACCACAAGAAAACACTACACTTTATGTGAGTATGAAATATTTGGCCAAATTTTATATTATTTACATCTGCATTCTATAATTATTTTTTGCAATTAACATGTTTTATAAATCACCCAGGCCCTGAAGATGACCCGAATAAAGGTCGAAACGTCGGCAAACTACTGAAAAAGGTTTTTCTAAAATACTTCATTCCTGACCCACCTCACTATTTCAAAAATTACTACATTGTTGTTTTTATGAGTTTTACTGTACTAAAACACAAAATCCAAAGATACTGCTATTATTATTATTATTTTTTTTTTTTTTAACGAAACCGGTTGTCCTTCGATTGGTCATTGTACACCATCTTTAGTTATGCAACACGTGATGAATTGCACGGGGTATGAGTGAACGAACTGCGACCAAGTCCATTGAGGACTGAAGCCGAAACGTGTCCGGCCAAGGACAAAACGAGACAGGCGGGCCCCCCTTCAAAATCCTTCCCGTCTCACATTATCAATTTTAACATGAAATTTTATTTTTACCCAACTATTTTAAATGTCAGTTGTCGGCCGACCTTTTAAACTGTAAAATTATCCCGGGAAATTAACACAATTTAATAGGACTGGGTGGATAATTAGGAATTTTTCTTATTTGTTATGGGCGTTTTTTCCCCCGAGAGATAAAAACTCATAAATAAAACATCATAAACGCAATTTAAAAAAAGGAGCAAATATTGAATAGTAAAAAGTCATATTTGATGGAACAACCCAGGGCAAAAACAATTCCAAAATACTTTGTCAAAAATATCTCTTTTAATTTACCACAGACCTGCTGCAGCAAAGCCAGATATGTTATGTTCCTATAAATCCATATGGGTCAGTTAACTGGACATTACTGACTCAACAGGCATTTTGAAAATATTGGGAAAGGCAGAAGATAGCATATGAAGGTTCTCTCAAGAAGAAGAGCTAAAACCATTAGATATTGCTATAAACCCATAAGAAATGAAATTTTACAATTTGGACGTTAATCATCGTTTTAGTCCTGTCCTCGTGGGGTTGGTCTGTTAGTGTCTGTGTATGTAAGGAAATCACAGACGCACTTAAGATGCGAAAAGCAAAAACGAGTCTGTCAGACCAACCCATAGAGTGTAGTCAGGGCAAAATGATTGCTATCGACCAAATTATAGGTTTATCACCCAGGAGACCATAGAAGGAAATTTCTCTAACGGAAAAATTCAAAGAGCAAAGAAAATCCATACAGTAAACATATCAAAACTATCCTTGGCTATTTTGGTTTATCGTATGATGTCTGTGTCTCAAGATGGCGAAATGCTGGAGCAGAGAAACCAAAATGATCGGGATTACCAAATATAGGTTCATCACCCCGCAGACATCAGGAAATAAATTATATTCAAGAAGCAAAAAAAAAAAAAGATCAATCCAAAAATATTTCAAGGCTATATAGGGTAATAAAAAGCGTCAAATTTGACCGTTTCCGAACATTTTGGTCAAGCTGCTTTCGTTTGTTGGCGATGTCAGTTGGCCAAAAGCTGTACGCGCATGACAGATCAAAACAGTAAGTACAGACAGGACCAAAATAATATGTAACGACCAAATGATAGGAACATCACCCCGCAGACCACATAAATCACATTCTACTTAAGAGGTAAAGAAAAGTCCAATCCTGTAAATATACCAAGGCTATGAGCGATAGTGAAAATCCGTCGTTTCGTCGTTAACGAACATTTTGGCTAGATTTGGCTGTTTTGGTATGTCAGAAGATGTCCGTCTCAAGTTGTCAAAAAGCTTAAAGGCGTCTAACAGACCAACCAAGCGAGAACGCAGACGAAAATGATTGGTATCGACCAAATCATAGGTTCATCACCCTGGAGACCATAGGAGGAAATTCTGATCAAGAAACAAAGGTAGGTCCATCCAGTAAATTATCAAGGCTATGGGGGATAATGAAAATCCGTCATGTTTCGTCGTTACCTAAAATTTTGGTTAGCCTTTCTGTGTCTGTTTTGGCCAGTCAGATGAGGCCTCTCTCTGAAGTTTTCAAAAAGCTGAAATACGCCTAACATACTAACCAAGCGAAAATAAGATCAAAAATTTCGATATCGTCCTAATTCATCACTTCACAGACTGAAGTCAAAAATCTGATAGACCCCTGATGGACAAAATCTCACAAAAGAAATTCTAATCCAAGGGATCAAAATCCAATCGAGAAACTATATCGAGGCTAAGGGGGATAACAAAAATTATAGGTTCATCACCCCGCAGACATCAGGAGGTTAATTCTATTTAAGGGGCTAAAAGTGCAATCCAAAAAAATACTTTAAGGCTAAGTAGGATAATAAAATACGACAAGTTTGGTTGTTCCGAATATTTTTGTCAGCCAGTAATTTGGCTATTTTTGTTTGTTAGATGATGTATGTGTCTCAAGATACCAAAAATGAAATGACCAAACTACATATTCATCATCCTGCAGATCCCATGAAAAAAATCAACTGAGGTGGAACGCCTTCTTGATCAGTGAGTATGCAGTTCTAAAAAGGTATTTTAACCATATCAAAGTAATTTATCTATGTACATACAAATATATTCTACCGCTGTAAGTATATGTTAGAGCTTTTTTTAAATCCAATTCACATTACAATGGATCCAAATCAAACATAAATGGATTCTACTCGTAGAAAATTTCCCTTTCACCCTTTGGAGCAATTCGTCATCAAAATATATTATAATGAAAAGGGTTTGGAAGCGGCCCCGAAAGAGAGTCGGCATAATAGTAAAAAATAAAAACTCGTTTTGTATTTGAAGTGTTTTATTACACAGTCCGCCCCTCCGGTATTGTGAGGGTCCCCTAGCCGGAGGGTTCAGCAGGGCCGGCCCCCGGCGGAATGAGTCACTGGATCGATAAAAGCGTGCTGCCGCACTACGCACTACGAACTAGACTTATAGTGCTTTCCGACGTGACTGAGCTGCAGTTGCCCCGACCGACGGAACCGGAGTGAAAGGGATTTCGACTGGAAGTGGAAGAAGGAGAAAAAGGTTAAACGACCTACACTATTTGTGACATATAACGATTTAAAAGGTGCTGATCTTCGGGCCGCGGCGTCCTTCAATTTCAGCCGAGGAGAGCGATTTTTGAATGGGCCCGATCGAACGCAAAGGTCGCCTTCTGCGTGATCGTCAACAATATCAATCCCGTTTGAACCAATCTTATCGCGCGCGAACGTGTTGAGCAATTTTAAAAAGGTCCCCAAAAGGGGAAAAGCCACTTCTCCGGATCATTATTATTTTTTACGTTCACAACCGCTAACTGCAATAATATTCGGGGATCTCTTGGCCGAAAGGTCGCCCCTGAATGCCAAATGTTCTCGGTCGTTAAGATAAAAACGAGGATATCAGATAAATCCACCTTTCTTCATTCTTCCCAAACGCTTTATAAATCATTCAGACATAATTAACAGATACAAACGAAATAACGAATAATTAGCCTAGATTAATAGGCCGTTACTTAAAAAACTGAAAAAAAGGCAAACTTCAAAGAAACAGTTCCTGATGAAGCCATCAACGCACAATCCTACAAAGGT